GCTACCACACCTTAAAAATATGTTAAGGAAATTTCCCTTTCCTGTCTCACATTCCTAGCACATGCTTACTTAGCATGATTTCAAAAATAAACTGATATTTTTTCTTGCAAAGGGAAATCATTGAAACAACTATGCTGTAAATCTGCTCTATGTTCGAGGCTGCTTAAAGCTCCAATAAGAAAATAATAAACTGACATCCTTAGAAACCGAGTCCTGCCCTTTCCTGTCTGCCTCACACTGCAGGCAGGTGTCTGGGTAGGAAATCGGACATCTCTGTCAGACAGTTTCTTGCATTGTCTTGCTCATGTCTGCCAGCAGCTGGGCCCAGGTCAGTCCACAAAGTGGATGTGAGGAACAGCTGGTGTCTATATAGACAAACAGTAGAGGAAGAATAGAAGGAGCAGACAGACAGCATGCTGGGCCAAGAAACTGGGAAGCCTCAGTTCTAGAGACCAGGAAGAGGCTTAGGTGGAGAGTTGGCAAGAAGGAAGTCTGGGAAAAGTTGCTGAGGTCCTACCAACAACTCCAACCTAGAAGGTCTATGAAGCAAGAAGTTCACCTGTTACAAGAGGAGGTGCAAGATGCTTGGGTAAGACACAAGCCCATTGTAAGAAAATGTTTAGAGAAGTTAGATGTTAGTGATATGTGGCTTAAATTCCCTAGATTTGCATCTCAGCTTTACTACTTACTGGTTAGGTGACCTTAACCCTTCTTAGCCAGAGTTTTGTCAGCTATAAAACAGGGCAATTACGCTGATGAAATGAAATGATATAAAGCAGCTAACTGTATGCTTGGCAGCAAGTAAGCGTTCACTAAATACTAGCTATTGTGCCTTTTCTTTTTAGATGTAGGAAATCTTAAATCTCACATACAGGTCTGTCACCTTGTGAAAATGATTCCACCTCTCTAAGTCTTAATTTTCTACCTAGCTAGACTTTTCTGGAGTCTACTTCATACAAGATGCATAGAGAACCCAGCCACAGTTCAGTTTTCACAAAGTAAGGTCTCAGTTAATAGATTTCTTATAATTTGGGAGGATGCTTGAAATATATCTACCCTATGGATGAGTTTCTGAGTGCCAGTGTGGGTGCTCAGAGGAAGGGAATTTTCCATGATATGGGACCAAGAGGACAAGTGGAAATTAAATAGGTTCAACAAGTAAGGGCAGCGGGGTGAGAAGAAAAAAGCCTTTCCTACCCTAGTAGGCCTATAATAGCCTATAGGCCTTCTTCTACCTACTGTAGAAGCTGGAGACAGAAGCAGACTTTCTCCTGTTGATACCAAGGGAAATCTCCTGTCTGGGTTTCCTGGTATGTCAGGGATGCTGGCAGGGCTGAGAGCCTTATCCACCCTTCCCTCATCTTTATTGCTGGGAAAAGGTGCTTTTCTCTGTCATGGTAAGGGGTCCCATATATAGGATCCTGGTAGTCTGGGCTCACAATGAAATGTCTCCAGCCAGAACTGGGAGGGCCATGCCCAGATGCACTGAGAACAAGACCCTATTTAAATACACTTTCCTTTTCTGAGACTCAGCCCCATGCAGAAGAATGAACAAGACTTGTGAGTCAGACAAATGAGTTTGTATTTGGCCTTGCCCAGTAACTAGACAAGTGAACTTGGACTAATAGCCTAAGCATTCATCACCTAAACTGGTTCATCTGTGCAATGTGGGCAACTATATTGACTTATCTGGGTTGACATAAGGGTTAAAGGAGATCACAGAGGCCCAGTGTCCAGCTAAGTGTCTGACATATGTGGGTTGTTCACTTAGTATCTATTATTATTGATTTTCTTTGCCCATTGTCCCCTAAAATACAGCCCACAGCAGGGAGGAACTGGATGTATATAAGAAAAGAGAAAAATTTCAAGAAGTTAGAGTCCATTTAGAAAGTACATTGAAAAATGTAAATTGTAGGAAGTGTGATTTTTAACTTGAGATACCTTTCCTCTCTGGTAGTCAAACTTACAAGAATCTTGACTCTGAAAAGCCCTAAACACCTGAAGGCAACTGAAATAACTACAATAAACTCATACCTTTCATAGAGAGTCCTATAGTCCCTCTAATCCATCATTGACACATAATTCTAATATGTTCTTCTTCTTCTGTCCCCAACCACATTCACCTCCAGTGGGAAATTTCCTACACCTTATAATTCACTGAAAAGCCTCAGGGAACCTTTCTCTGCCCTTCACATTGTTCTTCCTAAGGTTCTATACTTTTTCCTCTATTGTCTCTTCCACAAAGACAACTGAGTACACGGATGAACAGTTCACTGCTTCTTATCAGGCTCCCTAATAGATTACAAGTCTTACCAAAGGCAAGAGGTCTGTCTGTCTGGATTTTGCCATACAGACACAGCATGGTCCAGCACTTGGAGTTGATGCTCAGTTGACAAGCATCTCAATGGGGAAAGGAAGCCTGGCCACGTACATTCTACTGTCTTGGCCGACAAGAAAGAGTAACAAATTAAAGTGAAAGGTAAAAACCTTTTCATACCAAAAAATCCAAACTACATGTATAATGTTGATGAACAAGAAAAGAAAGAAAAGGAAGGAAAAGAAAAGGCTATACATCATTCAGAATCAGCAAAGCACTGCTTCTGGTCCCCTTAATAAGTGGCAAGGGGCATATGAGTCTGAAGGTACTACAGTTACATCCCACTCAAATACAGTCAAATGATGAATAGTGTCCTTAAACACACACACATGCACACACACACACACCACACATGCATACACACACACACATGCACACACACACACATACACACACATGCATACACACACATGCATACACACACACATGCATACACACACATGCATACACACACATGCATACACACACACAAGAAATCTGCATCCTATCTTCAGTTTTATATTGATATATAATTATGATCTGCTCTTTTTAAAAAAGTAATACCTTTAAGTCTGTTCCTCCCACAAGAAAAAGTTAGTTTTAAAAAATATTTCAGTGCATAAGTTGTAATAGGCAGGAAAATTATTTTAATAAGACTTGCTCTTTCTCCAACACTGTGTCAGGTACTATTGTAATTTGACAGACTCTCTACTTTAAACACAAACTTCACTTTCCATTCATTTTAAAAAAACAGTCCATTCTAATGGAGTGAAATAGACATCTAACTTCATTTGAAAACAGATATCAAGAGCCTTAAAAATGCTTACACCTTTTATCTTAGTCATTCCAATTCTAAGAATCAATTATAGAACAATAATTAGAGGTATAAAAGTATTTATGTGTAAGAAATTGAAATAACCCAAAAGTTAAAAAAAAATCAAAATAAATAATTACATAAATTATTGTATATCACAACCATTGAGCAATATTATAGCACAAAATACAGCTTAGAACTTTACAGGAATATTATATCAATTTTATGTGTAACATTTCCTGTGCTAAGTAAATGAATCAAAAAAAATTCCAACCTGGAAATGCAGTAATGTATATACATAGACACACACATTTATACACTTTCATACTTAACAAAATATACAGAATAAAAGAAGCCAAAGATGAAAGCAATAGTCATTTTCAGGTTGTTAGAGAATAAGTGAATTCTTTTGCTGTCTTCTTTGTGGATTTTCCAAACAAAACAAATAATTTTTTTCATAATTAGGAAAAGTCATAAAATTTATTAGCAGAAAGGAAACTTTATTCTCCTGTACCTAAGAAGAAAATATATCCTTTCAGTATTGTATCAAAAAGTAAAAACTAAAACTCAAACTAAGAAAGAGCAGGCATGCTAAAAAAAAAAGAAAAACATGGTCCAGACAAGACTAACTGAATCCAGAGAACTCCAATATTCTTATTTGTCAGTCTGTAACAGTCCCCTGGTTTGAGTGCAACCTTATTAGCCCAACATTGTAGGGTCTGAGCATCTTTAAGTTCTCTTAATGAGATTGCAATATTAAGAAGCTTAGATTGGAAGCCAGGAATATTGCTTTGCTTGTATTGCCCTCTGCCACTTGGCAGAAATCATTCCTCCTTTATGAATGTCAGTTCTCATTAATCAAATGAAAAGTTTGGATTAGATAATTATAGAGAGCTCTTCATCCACAACTAACTTTTATTCTCTCTTTCCTGTCTCAGGACTAGTTCTTTAAAAATGAGATAGTAAAGCAAATGATTATTGAGATGAAATAGCTTTTCAAGTCAGATTGTAGAGGAGTGGAAACATAGAAGAGATTCCCATACATTTATTCATCATAAGAATGCTTCTCAGCTTTGTTTTCCCAGGTTTACCACCCTCTCTCAACTCTTGACTGGAACCACGACATTGGTTCCAACTCTAGTCAGGAGGCAAATGGAGATGGCCACTCTTCCATAGGTGGCCAGTGCATACCTCACTCCAATGCTCCAATGTTACTACAAACACGTCAGTCACTCCTGTGAGTATCCTAATGTAAAAGGAAGATCACACCCCAAACCCCCAGAACCCCTAATTCTACCCACAGAAAAAGAAAATAGGTGATAAAATACTCAAAAACCGTAAGTGTCCTTGCTGGCAGTGTCCCATTTTCTCTCTCTCTAGATTTCAGCCATATCCCCTCAAAGGTATGTCCTCTCAAAGACTTTATGTCTTAGTTCTCTGCTCCAATATTTTCCTTGCTAACTCTCTGCCCGGGCCCCTAATCTCTCAACTTTTGGCATAGATATTTCTTGTTCTGCAGGACCTTTACCCACCGTTCGCCTGGGCCTTCACAGTACTTTGTACTTTCCTTCTAAAAGTTCTTATTGTACTTTTATTTATCTTCCATACTTTACTCTAAGCTTTGAGGACCACATCTGCAAAGATCATTTAAAGCATAGCACATTAGCTCAACTATTGACTAAAGGAATAAAAAATAAAATGAAACAAGACTTGAAGACAAAGCACTAAAATAACCAGGACAATAGGTTGTCCAGCATGTAGGAGTGACTCTAGCCAGAAGGTTGGAGAGCACTTCAGAAAGCATCTACAAGCTCCCCCACCCCAGCCTACCTTTTTGGTCTTCACCGTGGAGGTGCAGCAATCCCCACCATCATAGTTGCAGAAGGCTCGGTTGTTGATGGCATCACAGTAATTGTCTCCCATGAAGGGCTATAAAGGGAAAGGAAGGAAATGAGGCTTTGTTAGCATCCTGGAAAAAGTGAGAGCTGCCTTCAATGCTTCATCAAGGCCTCTATGGTCAGTTAGCAGTCTCTCATCTTCTTCCAAACTTCTACAGTCACCCTACTTGGATTTAAATCTCAACACCCCCTTGGATAAGTCATCACCTTTACTATTCATGAACAGTCTATTTACCACATTTCTGTCAGCTATAGTATGCTGACTTATTCTTGTATGTCTAGATATGCAAAGCCTCAGAATAGATCCCTTCCATCTTCCTGAAATAGAGGATTCATTTTACTTAAGAAATGATATTGCTCTGTAATCATTGATGGGAAAGACCATCATGTCCCAGCATATTACCTGTGATCTAATGGTCTCTCCTTCCCATCCTGACTTTCCCCACTTTTCTGGTAGTGGGTAATTTAAAGGATAATTTATAATAAAATATAATCAAATAAATTAGGAAACTTAATGTAAACTGCCCAAGAATTGTAAGCATAAGATGTAAGAATTTATAGGAATTAGGCACAACTATGTGTACATTCATGGCAGGTTTCCTAATAGGAAAACAGATGTACTCAATGTCACACACCTTTACATGTTTGTTTTCTTTTTCTTCAAACAACTTTTCCCACTTTATACACGAACACTCAGACTCAGAGTAAGAAAAAGACTCAGTCAAAATCACATTGGTATAAAAAGGGCAGTGATTTCAACTAATTTGTCTCCAAATTTTCCTAGCTATCCATAGGATATTCTAGTTTATACTGATTTATTTTTTCTTTTTTGTGTTCCTCCAACATCTTTGTGATGTTCCAAAGGCAAGAAAGAAATGATGGAGTCAAATCATTACTGATCTGAATGCAGAGCCATCTTAAATTAGTCTCTCTGATTACCCTGACACATGTATTTCCCCAGCCCAATACTTAGCACCATATATTCTGTGGTTCATTTATGTTTCTGTAGTGTGTGCAAGACTGTGAGCTCCTAAAAACATGAGCAGTGTCACGTCTGGTTCATCTTTGTCTCTCAATTACCAAGAAAACTTTCTGATTAGAATGCTGGTGGGAGGGTCTCTGGTGTTGTTTCTAATTAATGAGAGAAACGATGTCATAATTTGCTTAAGACTACTATATTTCAGCATATCATCTGCGATCCAGTGCTCTCTCCTTCCGTCCTGGCTTCTCTAGGGAAAACAAAACTCACAAGGAGTTCATCCCTTGTGGCATCTTGGTTTTGTTCCAAATTCTCAATTTGAGAGCTTTTTGCCCCAAACTCATGATACTAGACTTTATTTCATTAATTCCCTATTAGATTCTAAAAAAAGATCTTAGCAAGATGGAGTTAAGAATACCTAAGCACTAAGCTCAGATGTGTGAGTATGCATGCACATGGCTGTGAGTTCAAGTATGATTCAGCTGTGTGACTACTACGACAAACACAAACAATGGATAAACCCTTTCTATCATCTATGTCTCAGATCTGCCTGTGGCTAAGGTCTTCATATTTTGCCTCATAAAATATACAGACAGACCAATGGAGGAGACCAATTGTCCCTTCCTTAGAATGAATTGAACTGGCTTGATAAAAGAATAGCTAAAGAACAGAAGGAGAAAGAGAAAGAAACTTAATGACAGTGGTTCTTTTTAATTTGGCTCCTGAAAAAACTTGGGTCTCATTATTAACTACTCTTCCTTTTGTGCTCATTTGTGTAGTCAGGTATCCATCCTCTATTCAATTCTATAACTGAATTTAATGTATATTTACTATGTGGTATGCATTATGCTAAGGGAAGAATGTGTGTGTGTGTGTGTGTGTGTGTGTGTGTTTTCCCTTCTCCTTTATATTCTCCTAAAGAAAAAGTCTTTAAGCAAATAGTCACACATCTGATTGGCCAGTTTCAACTCTGATAAGAGCTATGATGCTATCAAAGTATTTGATGTAGTCAGAGACCTCAGTGAAGGTGTCCCTGGGAAATGACATTTCAGCTTGAGACCATAAAGGTGAGTAGGAGTTAATTAAGTGAGGGTGGAGAAGGAAGAATGCCTAGAGAAGAAATGGCGTGACAAAGCCCTCAACTCTGATAAGAGCTATGATGCTATCAAAGTATTTGATGTAGTCAGAGACCTCAGTGAAGGTGTCCCTGGGAAATGACATTTCAGCTTGAGACCATAAAGGTGAGTAGGAGTTAATTAAGTGAGGGTGGAGAAGGAAGAATGCCTAGAGAAAGGAAATGGCGTGACAAAAGCCCTGTTACTTAGATTTCTCTGATCTCTGGTTATTTCTTTTGCTGCTATTTTGACTAGTAATGCATTCAGGCAAGCAATTCATTCTTTAAGATCTAGCTGATACATCACTCCCTCAGTGCGCTCCCTAATAGCCTTAGCCTGCTCTGTGCTACAGTGCTTCTTGTACTTGCTTTGATTGTAGTCTTGGTTCATCATTTTAGAATTCTATCTTTAAGAATCTTCTTTACTAGAAGAGTTCCTTACAGACAGAGAATATGTGTCATCCATTTGCAAATCATAAATATTCAAGCAAAATGAGCAAAACTTTATCAAATATATGTTCAGTAAATGTTTATTTAGTAAAATAATGGATGGATAATTGGATGGATAGATGGGTGAGAGGAAAGAAGATATCACAGGTGACTAGAACATACTTACTATTTTCATTTATGTAAAACCATTGTTTCTCCAAATCTAGAATAGTGACCAACTTATAATAGGCACTCAGTGAAGCTTTGATGAACGAGGCAGTGAATGATCGCTTGGAACACATTCTGAGAAGGGGGAAGGGGTTCAAACCCTTTTTCTATCTTGGGTACCTCTAGACTCTTAAGACTTGATGGCTCCTCCCTGGACCTAGCATTTGTTTCTCTTCCAAGCATACTTTCAGCTACAGATAAGACACAAACTATTAGCTCTAAGCTAAGGAGGGGAGGAGAAGATGAGGGGCACCTGCAAGGTCAAAGGTGATAAGCATCATTGTCAAGACTAAGAGCCTGACAGGTAAGGGTCTCCTGAGCTTCACTGCTGAGTCAAAAGAGGGATCAAATTCTGCTGTTACACTGATTGCCCAGACTACCAACTCAGCAGAATGAATGCCCAGGTAACTCAAGCTGCCTTTTCCCAAAATGCTGAACTGATCCGGAGAGGTGGAAGAAAGCAATAGCCACAAGGCCTTGGCCTTGATTTTGCCATCCCTAGTTGAAGCTTGAAAGAGTGAGAGCTCTGAAAGATTACATTATCGAATGCCCTTATAAGATACCACCTGGGGTCCTTTCTCAATGCACAGAAAGAAATGTGTGACCCAAAGATTGTTTTGTGACATTTACAGGGAATGGCTTGAGGGCAGGAAGCAAGGTAGCCTAGTGGAGGAGAAAAAATAGCAGCCTGGAAGTCAGCAAATCATGCTTTGGCTTTGTAGTTTGCTGTACAAACTTAGACCAGTCAATCACTTTTTTTTGGCCATCATTTTCCAGTCTATACAGCAAGCTAGTAGAACTAGATCACACTAAAAGCCTTCTTTTGTACTTCATTTAATTCTGGACCATGCCACGGACTGGGCCTCTGTTTTCCCATCTTTAAAATAAAGGCTTGGGTTTAGATGATTTAAAAGCCTTTCTGGTTCTGACATGCTAAGATCTTCATCAAATCTGAACTTCTCTAGGGAATGATCTGATCCCTATCACCTGCATTTTCCTCCATGGTCTCTGGGGAAACCAAAAAGATTTGACATCAGTCTGGAAGGGATTTTGAGCCTCCTTTTCACTTCCATCTGAGAACCACAAGCGGCAGAGTGATGGACATAAATATCTTTGGGTTCCATAGGTAACTCTCCTCTGAGAAAAAGCTATGCCCAAGAACCTGCCCTATAACCCCATGCTTAGCTTGTCATTGACACACAGAGCCAGATCTCCATAATTATAAGCCCTAAGGAATGGCTCAACTGGAAATTCACATAATTTGTTAGTCAGAAGGGATCTTTTACTTTGACTCAATGGCTGGGTCTAAGTGTTCAAACTTCTTCTGAGTTGAAGAATGAGTGAACGATTAAGTTGTGGGGCAGAAGGAACAGCTCTGTAATGGTCATTAATAAAATGGAAATTTTAAAAGAAAACTGCCTTGTGTGGCTCTATACAGGCTAAATGTGATGATGGTAAAATTTCTGGCATATTACAGATGCTAAATTAATACAGCCTCCCCTTTCCTTCCTTCCTTATAGACCCCAAATTACGTAGGCCACAGGTTTTAGAGACAGAAAATCCTGGCTTAGACTCTCAACTCTGTTACTTATTACCTATATATTTCTGTGCCTCAATTCTGTCATCTGTAAAATGATGTTGACTAAGAAGTCTGCCAAATGGATATTTACAACACTTAGTAGGTACACTAAATGGTAGTTATCACAAATATAATAAGAATAACATTAGAACTATTTCTAGGGATCTGAGTAAGTCTATCCTTGTGACTCACCTCACAGCCTTTGACACAATGAATCACAGCAGGGTGAGGATACCACTTGAGACCAGCAGTGCAGACAATTCTCTGCAGGGAGATGGAGAGAGAGAGGTCAGATGGGTTTGGGATAGGGAGGGAGCCACCTCTTTGTTGGCACCACACTCCACTTCTTCTTGAACCTTCCACATTCTGACTCCACCCTGGAATTAACATGGAGAACTTGCCCAGATACTTGCAATAACAGAAGCCATAGATTAGAATAATATTTCTATTCACCATATTTGTAGTGATTCAGTATTTCCCTGGCAGGAGCATGAGTTGAGAAGAAGCAAAATTAGGAGAAGGAAACATGATCAGAAAGGTTCTTCAGAAAACTCTTGGATGATCTTTGACCCATTGGGGTGATTGAGAATACAGCACGGGAAGGAAAGGCTAGGTATGTGTGCATGTGTGTATTTGTGCATGCACATGTGTGGCTACCACAAGGAGACAGGAGAACAGTATGGAACAAGGTTTATCTGAGCAAAAACTGCGTACCATTTCCATCAGAATCCCTATGGGAGCATATAAAAAGTCAGATTCTTGGGCCTTGCTTTTGATCTAGTCATTTTGAATCTCTGAAGCCAGGGCTTGGGGTTCTGCATTTTTAAAATCAAGTCTCTGAGATGATTTTGATTCACACTATAGTTTGAGACAAAGTGGGCTGGAGGATGAATGAACTAACCTATGGTTTGGAATCTCAGAAAGGCAGAGAACCTTTCCTGCTGTCATTTGCTGCCATAGTTATATGGACCTGCTCACAATTCCTAGAGGGTACCCACATTTTTGTATCTCACTCAGAGAATTTGATCTTACCATTCCTCTTCACTGAAATACCCTTCCTCATCTTGGAACTTGAGAGTCCTTAGTTATCTTTTAAATATCTGCTTAAGACTTATTTCATCTGTGGTGTTTTTCTCTACCCACTTAGGCAGACAGCATAGGTATGCATATATGTACTTATTTATCGCCTCCTTTAATACTAATAATTATGGTGATGATAATGACAACTAAAATATATGGAGTGCATTCATGGTGCTAATTGCTTTATGCATTATCTTATTTATTTCTTGCCACTGTGCTGTGAGGTGGGCATTAATCTTGTGTCATAAGAGAATAAATTCCCCAAGCTCCATACTGTTAAGTGGAGAAACCCGGGCTTGAAATGAGCAATTGTTCAGAAGTGATTTAAGGCAGCTCAACATAAAAATCCAACCTGACAATATATTTTTAAGTAGGTGAAAAAATACAATAAAACAAAACTGGGAAGATAAAATAGTATCAAAAATAGAGCAACAAGAAAAATCCTAGAACACTCTTTTCTTTTCCCGTAGATGCTTCAGTTCTCATGCAGGATTATAATTATTTCTTTAAAAAATGAAATAGGATGAAAGGTAACTATGTCAGAGACCAACCAGTTAGAGATTGCTCTCCTGGCCAAGTGCCAGTTGATTAATTTAATTAAGAAATGAATGATCACATGGGCCAGAATGTGGGAAATCCATGTGACCAGCCCATTCTCTCCCTGAGGGCAGACTTATATGGGAGCCAAAGTATAATTAGATTTCTTGGTAAGCTTGTGACAAAGGGAGTAACAGGACTCCAGGCTAGGACTGGGTTGAATGCCTTTCTTCTCTGCTCCACAGAACTTCTGGTTCATGTGCTGGATCTCCCATGCTTAGAACAGGTCCTGGCACAGAGGATGCTCAATAAATATTTATTTTATGAAAACCTGAATCCATTTCAAAGGAGAGATTATTTTATCAATGGACAGTAAGTTCTCCACCTGTCATCCTCTCTCGCACAGTGTTAGAACAGCATCTACAATGCCAAGTACAGTGTCTTTAGATCAGCTTAGTGTAGACTCAAAGACCTTGGACAAGCAGAAGGTGTGGTGGCATACACCTACAATCCAAGTTATGTGGGAGATGGAGGTAAGAGGATTGCAGTCCTATGCTGGCCTGGGCAAAAGCACGAGACCCTACCTGAAAAACAACTAAAAAGAAAAGGACTGAGATATGGCTCAAGTGGTAGAGTATTTGTCTAGCAAGATTTAGGCCCTGAATTTGATCTTCAATACTGCAGGAAAAAAATTTAGATGAAGAGCCTAACCTGATAACCTTCCAATCTGTCTCACAATGTGACATCTACCATCTAGCACCCTTAACACCCTACTGCCTCTATTGACATCTCCCAATACACACACACACACACACACACACACACACACACACACACACACAAGATACACAGGAAAAAACATAGGGGTCTTTTTTGGGGGGTGGAACAAGGCCTCCCTATGTAAACTAGGCTGGTCTCAAGCTCATGATCCTTCTATCTCAGCCTCCCAAGTTCTGGGATTACAGGCATGCACCACCACGCCCAGCTAACTATAGAATTTAAAGTAAGATTGGTGTGGTTGCAATTTTAACTTGAAATTGCTTTGTAAAATTCCACTATGACATTTGGTTCTTCCATCTGTGAAATGGGTAATGAACTGTCATAGACTTGTGATAATGCATTAAGATAAATGGTTGTGGAAATGGTTTCTTGGACCAATTCTTTAAGCTTCTTGAGGGCAAATCTAGGATCAGGCATGGAGTACAGTGAAGAAAGACATATGAAGGGATGTCAGTAAGCTCCACAGTCCTTCCTCTCAATTGTTTCCCAGCCTCAGGGCCAGAGTGTAAATGATCACCTGCTTTCATTCTCCAAAACGCATTAACAAGACTTTCTTCTGTGAGTCTGAGGTCTGTTCCCAGCCAAAACCCAAGGATTTGCTAAATGCTCAAGAAGGAGAAGACAGCAGGCTCAGGATCCACCAGGACCTGATGCCCATCCCACCCCCTGTTTATTAGAGAGCTAATTTAATCTGTGTGTAGGAGTGTCATGGTGTGGTTGCACAAGGTTCTGTCAATTGAGGTTTACCTGACATGAGTTCAGAAAAAGGACTTTTATACTATCTGCATGAGCGTATTTATCTTTCCAAGACTTTTGGATTTTCCACCATTACTCAGGACTGCACGCCCCACCTGTCTTACTAAGGGAACCTCTATGTGCTAGGGAACAGGGGACAGGCAGTGGGAGCTTAAGGGAAGGCTAGGCTGTTTATACCACAAGTAGGGACATCCTAGATGGGGCCCCTTAAATGTCAGCCTTGCTTCTCCTAACGCCATCTAGTCCAACCAGAGCCTTTGAGACCAGGTTTTGTAAGACAGAGTTCATTTCCTGTCTTTGTGTGGAGAAGAATGAACTATTTTTAATTCCTGGTTGCAACTGCCATCATTACAACACTATCAGCATCACTGCTAGCAGCATCAGCAGCTCAGAAGCCTCAATACCACCCCAGCACTACAACCATCACCACTATCAACTTCTTCCTCTTCTTTTACCATTATCATCATAGCACCCCCACCACTACCATCAAAACATTAGCACTGCTACCATCTCTTCCATCAGCACCAACATTATAATTATGCTCATCCTCATCAGCACAAACCCTCCTTAAATGAATATTGTGCTCAGAGCTTTCATTTCATTGACATCTTACTATAACTATGAGGTATTTTTTGAGTCTTGTTTACATAAAGGGAAACTGAGGCACTGGTAAATTAAACCCACCACAATCATGCATATAGTCTGTGATAGTCAGCAATTAAACCTACGTCTATCTGGCTTTAAAGTCTATGCTTTGAACCCTACACTCTCCTTCAAATCGTCATATAGTTGAAGCTGTAAGAATAATGTAGCTTATTTTTTGGACTGATGGGAAGGGTAAGGTTTGGAAAGATGCAGAAGCTCTGAGACAGGGGGCAGAGTGTCTAACAGAAATGGGCCCAAGAAAAGCCAAAGGCCTGTGAAAAGCTCCTTAAGAGGGTCTCCTCATCCTGAGGCCCTTATCTGACTCCCCTTTTGGATTCTTCTCAAATGAGCTCGCCTTGTTCTGTGAGTTGTCGGATCTACTAGGAGTGAATCTTACCAATTAGGAGCATCATTTTTGACTTTTGATGTCAATCACTAAGTATCCACCTTGTGCCCCTAGTTTAAAACAATACCTACCATTTGGGGGCACATGATCAATGTTTATTGAATGTGTAAAGGAATGAAGAAATGATCAAATGAATGAATGTATGGTTGTTGTCTATGAGTGGATGAGAAAAGCAGAATCTGACTGCACTTCTTCATCTTTGATGTCCTCTCCTGAGCAATTAGTATCTTTATACATCAGACAGACTGGACTTACTAGTCACCTCTGACCTTTAGACACATCGCAGATTTCCCCACAATGTTGCTTCCTTTCCAAGGAATTAATTCTGAATCCTGTGTCTACATGTACTTCATAGGTTTATTTTTCCAAAATGTATAGAATGTACTGCCTTGCAGGATAGAATTAATGTAGTTAATTCAACCACATTTGTTATGTGAATTGGATGATAATTACCTCTCTGAGCATCAACCTCATCTGCAACATGGTGGTAGCATTTACCTCCTTGGGTTATAATAGAAACCAAGTGACGTGGCATTTATAAAAGTGCCTTAGCAAACATGTCTTTTATCATAGACAGTAAATGGCCATTCCTCTTTTCTTGTCCTTAATCCATTCTCTTCCTTCTTTCTTTCCCCACACTATTCTTCTTCCAGAAGCCTTTGTAAATGTTAAAGACTCAGCTACCTTAAGCATTTATATGCTTCTGAGGATAGAAACTGCATCTTCTATTGTAGAAGTCTCCTGGCCTCCCTAGGCAAATGACAATGCAGAAGCAGATTGGAGATGCTCTAATGGAGAGAGCCTCTCCCCCCAAACTGTAGCTATTCGGGCTGGGAAAGCCTATGTAATCCAATGGCTGCAAGCCAGCAGCTTCCAGGCTACCCAACCCACAGAAATGTTTGCTTTGGCACACAAGTGTTTGAAAAGATCAAAATTAGTTGCCAATATTAAAAGCAAAGAAAGAGATTTCAAATTCTTTAAAACTTCAGATTTATCACATTAAAGAAAAAAACAGAAAATGTGGCCTCAGAAGGCCCATATTTCCACATGGCTGCACTTGGCTAGAGCTGAACCTCTTTGAAAACAGCCAAAAAAAAAAAAAAAAAAAAGATGATTTTCATACTTCACCACAGTCTCCACCATTCTCTGGAGTCTCTCCAGTACCAAGCCTAAGGGGCATTTCCATCTATCATCGAGCTTATGTTACCTCATTTATTCAATTTAGAGGAAGAATTTTCTGTACTTCTATCTCTTTCAAGAGTATTTGTGTGAAGAGAGGGATTGAGAGGGGACAACTTGGGAAAAACAAGCAAAGAAAGAACATAGTGTTTTTCTTTATAGAAGTTGAAATATGCCTACAAAAGAGGTTCATGAGACATATTCTATGACTCCAGTTATGTGAAGTTCAAAGAAAAGCAAAACTAATCTATAGAGATAAAGGCCAAAATACTGGTTATCTTGGTGATGGAGGCATTGCTTGGCAGGGGAAGGGGTAACTCATTGGTAAGGCCAAATGGGTCTACATTCTGATATGGCAGTGGTTTCTGAGTGCACGCAGCATTAAGAATTTATCAAGTCTTATGCTTAACATTAGAGTGTAAGTCATAGCTCAAGAAAAGCAAAGAACTTCAACTCTATAAAGTTTTATTTCTGAAGTTAGGTGGCATGTTTATGAGTATGTATTATATCTTCTCTGTCAGTTTTTGTCTTTCTGAAATATTTATAGTAAACACTATCACTGCTAACATTGATAATATGTCTAGGTATTTAATATAGAGATTAATATGCTAAGCTTGTTTACCCACCTATCCCACCTGTCTGGTTCTGTATGTTTTTGGGTTTACAACACTTGACCTAAGCCTAGCTCTCATTTCACAAATGGGAAAACCATGGCTTAGAGAATAAATAGGATTTGCCCCAGTATAAATATCCAGAACATAGAACCTTGATTACCTTTCTGGGCAACCAGTAACATTTACTGAGCAGCTACTTTAAGCTAGGCACTGAGGTATGTGGCATGGTAAATAAGATGACCATGGTCCTCTCTGCACGGGCTTACTGCTCTGGTGCACTGATCATGATACATGATTTCAATGTTGATATTCCACTCATCTATGCAGTTATCATACATGTCATTATTGGAACGTGCTTAAAATAGAGTCTGTCATGGCTAAGTGCCAGTGTAGCAGGCTCATATAGGGTTGTGAAGACCATGAGTGCTTGTGTCTCCCGAACTTTGCATTCAGTGTCATCTGCCATTGTGGGAGTGTTTACACCACAGAAATTGGCAATGCTACAAATCAGTACTTGGGTTGTTTTTTGGAAAGCTAGTTATTAAGCATTTGCTAGTATATCTCTGATGGACAATCAGCAAATGCTTTGCCTTTGTTATTGTTATTCTACATTTCATAGGCGCTTCAGGGGAGGCTGGATTAACTGCTGCAATCAACTGACCTGGGCAGGTCCTTCTTCATCTTGTTTTAGGCAAGTTACTTCCATCTCTGAAATTCCATTTCCTCTACTGGAAACATGAGGTAACTAAACCCACTTACTTCATAGTGGTATATATTTGTGTTTGTAAGTATGTGGGAGGAGATGGATGAGAAGTGCCTGCTCACAGCAGGCATCCATTAAATGTCAGTTTTCCCTTTTCACTCTTTTACCCTGGGGTAAAGGTGGCCAGAGAGGGAGCAAGAGCCTTCTTGTCATCTTCCTAACACTGGGTCTCAGCGGCCCCTTAGAAGGCAGAAGAGCTGGCCAGGGCCTCCAAGGGCCTGGGACTGACTGCACCAGCAGCTCTACTTCTGCAGCTGTCACTGCACAAGGAGCAAGGGTCCAACAGAGGCCAGCTTCACTACCTTATTCCTGGAAACCATCAATCTATGCCCTTCGCCCTGCTCCCTTTTTCTCCGTTTTTTTTCTTCCTGGATAATGAGGCCTCCAGAGACCAGAGGAGGTCTGAACCTTGTTATGGCTCTCTCTCAGTAGGCCAGCATCAATAAAGCCATGCAGACCAGGGAACTTGGTGGGGGCAGGGACAGGCAGCCAGCGGGTGGGCGGTTGAGGAGTGGGCAGCTTGCAGGCTTTCAAATCCCTGGATTTATTTCACAGTGAATTATAACTGAATTCTTTAGTGCCTAGTGCTCACTGAGAGGAAGGTGGGAATTCACTTAGGGGGTAGTAAAGGTCTCACTTGGGAGCTGGGCTGGGCCAGAAGATCATTGATACTGTGGTAGCAGAGAGGTTTCTTTGCCAGTTCTGTATATGAATGATGCTCATTTGTTCTAGAGTATGTGGAAGGTGGGGTGGGTAAAAGGAAGGAGAAGGAGCTGCCAATCATGAGTCCTGGCTAGTGGGTCTAGCTGTACTCCCATGTGACCTTGACCTACACTCCCTCTGTTATCCTCAGTTTCTCTATTCCTACAATAAGAAACTTGTGCTTGGCAATCTCCACCTGTCTTGAAAGTCTGACACACAGGTTCTGCCTGCGCCTGGACATGCTCAGCACATCTGGACACACTGAGGCATCCAGGGGAATCTGTGCAGAGATTCTGAACTAGGAATGAGGAAAGGCATCCTGAGCTGGATGGAACAGGAGAGGAGTCTGAGGTTAGGAAAACAGGCTGTCTGGTAGATATGCAGAGACAGAGGAGGATGATGGAGGGGTGGAATTGGGAAAGGATGGCAAATTAGATGAATGAGATAGCAGAAGGAGGAGAGAGCAACAGAGTGAAAAAGTGAAAAGCAGGATAAAAGGAATAGCAGTTGAAGAGATAAAGATAGAGATGGGAAAGATAAAGCAGTAGAAGAAGAGAAAGAGAAAGGGAAATGGAAGGGAGGTGAAGCCCAGTGTACATGGGGCAGTTGAGGAATATGGCCAAGTCCTCATGCTCAGAACGCTGAATAAGCCCTCAAAATGGTGCCCTCAGCTCATTTGAGAAACTGTACACCCCATATCGGGTTCTTCCCAGCTATCCAGAGCTCAATCTACAGCAGTCAGGCAGACAGCAGCTCCCAGGACCCCAGGCAGAAAGTCTAGTGAAGATTGATACAATTTAACTTCACTTGCCCACCCCCTTTTCTCACTTTTCAAAGATGAGGAGTCAGTGCCCTGAATGAACCAGGAAGTCCAGGAGGCATGCTGAAATGGGGAACAAGAGTGGAGTCCATATCAGCTTGAGTCAATAACACTAGGAAAAGAAGGAATGACCAACCTCAAGGTCAAACTGATACTGCCCTGAGGCAGTGGTCTCCATAGTCATCTGGCCAGGAGCATGTCAAGTTGGTGCCATGGAAAGCGGACAGGGTTTGGACTCAGGTTTGACTTCCAGCCCTCACTCTGAACTCATCAAGACATTTCTGAGATCTTACTATCCATGAGTGCAGACCATGATCCCTCCCTCCTACCAGTGTCTGAGGTCTATGAGACCTCTTGTGGGCAGTGAACACAATAAGTACTCCATAAATAATAGACATGTTAGTTCCTGGTAGTTAACACCATATATGAATTTCTTTCTTCCAAACAGGTATGGAAAAGGATGTCAGAGACTGAAACAAGGTAAAGTTCACAGCTACGTGGAGGGCACTAGAGAAGCTAAACTGCCCTATCCTTGTGCATGTGGACTTTATAATCAGACAGACACTAGATTGTGATACATGATACCCCATACCTATGTGTTTTTGGTGCCTCAGTTTCCTAGCCTATAAACTAGGAACTTAGGACTCATTCCTAGGCTGCCATCAGCACTCAGTAGAACAATAAGAAAGGCCCTCAGTTTAGGACCTAATGAGATGTATTAAATAATCAGACTGGAGAAATTATTGTGAACAAGTCTATAGAGCAAGCACGATGATTAAATGAGATAATACATGCAAAGGGATGAACGTGGGGGTCTGGACAGAGTAAGCACTCAGAAATGGCATTTCCCTCCCCCTCAGCTTCGAGATGGATGGTGCTGGTCACTCACCTCCACTCTTGTGGGGTTCATCCAGTGAGGGATGTCACGCACAGTCACGTTTACTGGCAGGATGATGGACTCGCTGTTGTGGTCCAGGCACGAGGTGGCACACTCTGACCCTGAGGAGTACAACTCAAAGTGGTGGCACAGCCCATATTCCCTTGCCCATAAATTGCTTCCCTCCCCCAGAGTGGTCCCTACTGCTTGCTAGTTCCCAGTGGATTAGGCTATCTCAATCTCAGGACAGTGAAAGGAGATAGCCCCTTTTTCAGGGCCACTTCTGGTCTCCCTGACTCCATTCACTTGTCTTCAGTCCAGCTGGTAGCCATCAACCACAGTCATTGGTCATGCTTCTCCATTCAAAAACTTTTCTGATGCCTCCCTACATCCAGAACCAAGTTAATCCCTTTTTCACAGCCTTTAATGTCTCCCATGGTCTGGTCGATTTCCTCCCTGCTCACCGTCTTCATACTTTGGTTGGTCTAGCGGTCTGAGTTACATTTGGCTTTCCATTCATTCCATATTTCCCATGTCTGTGCTTCTGCTCATACTCCTCTCATTTCCCCCAACCACCTTCCCATGACAAGATCATGGGAAGGCCCAGCTCAAGTGCTCCAAGACATTTGTCATGAGTTCTTAAGTGAACACATTCACTCTTCTGAATGCCTACTGCATTGGCTCTCTACCTCTTTTGGGTACTGATGAGTCTCACCCTAATGCTGGTCTTCCCCACTGTGCTTTCTCTCCACAGTTAATGTTGCCCTAGCAGGACAGAAGTATAGCTGACTAGTGTCTGAGTATAGTCAATTGTCTGACACCCTGACACTGTGTGAGAGCTCAATCAGCATGAGTATCAATGAATGACAAAAACATGCATGCAACACCAGTTTCTTAGTCTCAGCTTCTCTTTTTTCCATGTCTGTCCTCTCCTGTGGCTTCCAGATCCTTCCTTCTCCTGTTCACTAGCACTTTACTTATGACTCAGATCATTACTAATGACTAAGATCTCCATCCAAATGCCATCTGCTCAGGGAAGGCTTCCATGGTTTCTGACTTGCCATGCCCCTCACAGTCATCCTTCATGGTATCTGTCACATTTGCCATTTCCCATTTGCCTGGTGATTGTTGTCTCAATAGTTCCCTCTCTTTCCTGCTGGATTGTAACTCCATGGGGCCAGCACTGTTCCTGCTCCTCGTTTTATGCCTAGGGCTTGGCATTGTGAATGAAAGACGTAGGCAGTCAAGAAGTGGAACTGGTGAAATGAAAGAGACAATGAGTGAGTGAACCAATGGATGACTGCTGAATAAGTATTTTGGAATCTTACAAAGGAGGAAGTGAGTGCATCCATAGATGAGTAAATGAACAATGACGGGTTAAACAGATAAAGGAATAAAAAGTGGTTCAGCAAGAAGTCAATGAAGGGTCAGGTTTAAGTACACAGAACACCTTGGTCCAGGGATTTCTGGATGAACACAGTTGGCTCTCAGGCTGTGGGTTGGCAAGTTGACTGTAATTTTGCTCATTTGTTCTCCACCTTGACCTCCCACATTCTGAGCTTTCTTGAAAATAACGTCTATCCCATGGTATGTCCCCACATCTCCAAAGAGGTTCTTGTTCATGTGGGTAAAGAACCAACCTGTTAGAATCTAACCAGGCCCCCAAGGAAGCCATTCCTCTGTCATGATGCCAAAACCACCCTCTGAACACTAATTGGTACACTAGGAGTGAGCCAATTCTTTTCCTCAAATATCCTATTCTGTTAACCATTCTAAACTGCACATATATATGTATATATTTTATGTATGTGTTCATGGTGTATGTACAGATACACATCTGTATGTGCATATAAACACATACATAACTAATATATACACATGAATATATGCATATATATATATGTAATCTGTCCAATGTTCTTCCTATTGTCATCTTATTATCCTCTTCAGTCTAGGAGGCTCACAAGGTATAAAAAGGGGGCAAGAGTGGAGTGACAGGTCCAGATAATGTTTAGAACATCTTTGCTTTAAATTTGGGGACCCTGGACTTGCCACTTGTCACTTCAGTTCCCGGAAAACCCAGCCTTGTGAGGCAAGTGTCAACACACCCATTTCACAGGTGAAAGAGCCAATAGTCATAGAGCTCAGGTTAGAAAACTGGTGAGCAGAGAACCACATCTTTCTCCTGGCTTCCAAGCCCAATGGTAGATAAGGTGTAGTCATACAGAGAGAAGAGGGGAAGGTAGCAGTGAGAGGCACAGACATGGGTGAAGGACCAGAGGAGAGAAGAAAAATGGAAAAAACATGAGAAGGCAAAAATGGTAAGTGATCAGAATAAAGGGAAAATCATCTCACAGCAGTTGAAGAAACTTTGTTGTACATGTGTATTGTCGAGACCAGTTCCAAAGGAGAATTTTAGGGAACAAAAATGAGACAAGGCTGTAATGATGACAAAATTCTTTTGGAAAAGAAAACAAAAGATGCATCCTCTGAGTGATAGACAAAGGCTGTTTTATACCAAGAAAAGGGATGAAAGAGAAAACATTGTGGAAACAGGAAGAAGTATGGGTGTCTTCTGCAGGAGTCCTGCCCTCTTTCTCTCTGCCTCTCTCTCTTCTGGCTCCTCTCTCCCATGCCTGGCTCTTGAACTTCAGCCCAGACTGCTGCTGTGTTGTGATATATGAGCCATAATTGGCATCACTATGGAGTGGTGATCTCACCAGACCCCTTTTTCCTTCCCTGGAAGGGTGGGGAAAATGGCAGCAGAGTGGCAGCAGTGGCAGCGACTCATGACTGCTACACAAGGCTGCTTGGGGAGAGAATCAAGAGAGCTAGTTTGCAAGATTTCAGATGGGTCTCCAGCTCCCCAGCTGGGCGCATAATTTGCCTGTTTACAAGGCCTCATCAAATCCCTTTGTGATTAATATGGCTCCCCATCGCATGGGGCTAGATGAGCATTATTTGAAGGTGAGCAAGGAGTAGGGGGCCACTTATTTTTCCTCCCCTTTCTCTCTGTCTCACTTAATCTCCCATGTCCCCTTTTTTCACTCTGCTCTCTCCTCATGACCAGCACTCACCTACCACCCATCTGCATAGGACAAGTATGTATGTGGCTTTGGGAACAGGGATTCAGGGAAGAGGAACAATTCAGGTTCCAATATCATACAGATTTCTTTCTTTTCTACTTTGACTATGAAAAGGCCCAGTGGGTAAAAGAATGCCACCATCACACACACTTCCTCTATCTCTAGACTGCCCGCAAACATACATGGCCAACATCTCTCTCACATTCTCTCTCTCTCTCTCTCTCTCTCTCTCTCTCTCTCTCTCTCTCTCTCTCTCTCTCTCTCTCTCTCTCTCTCTCTCTCTCACACACACACACACACACACACACACACACACACACACACACGAGGAATAATGAATAGGAGGAAGTCTTGACCTTGGTATGGATAGGCCAGTGTTGCACACCACAGTGACACTTGTTGCCCCAACCTTTTAGAATGTTTATGTTGATAAGCCCTACAGCATCTCTTCTCTCCAAAGCCCTCCTGTCCAGGGCCCCTTGGTTTGATGGCTATGTAAGATTACAAAATTCCTTCTAAAACATCAGAGAAAGCAGGCATGTGTTTTGATGTTCTGACCCTGGTAGGGGCAAGTACACGGAACTAAACACAGGCATATTGATTCCTGTTCTGAGTTTAGGGAAAGAGCTACTGCTACCTAAACTCATGTGGTTCTATCTTCAAAAGCTAGTGATCAGTCTTCAGGCACCTCTTTCTCCAATCATAAACCTTGCCTTTGAATGTCCAGCGACAACTCTGTGTGCTGAGTAAGGAGCATGCTGTCTCTGTGCACACTTAGATGACCTTCTGCACCAGACAGCCCTGGCAATTGCCCCATAAATCACATTGGCCATGTGAAAGGTCATTTAATTCCTTGGGTTTTTCATCATGGTCAATTAGGGAATCCATTCAAGGGTCAGCATCACTACTCAGACTCCATGCGCTCCAAGTTCCTCAAAAAGCCATGGAGCTGGTGATTAATTTATCTATCCTGATGTCTGATTTCAACCAACCAAACACCTGCATTGAGTCCCCTAGTGTACACATTTCTCAAGCTGGCTATGATGGCACAAACAGCATTTTGAAAATGCTATTTACACTCCTCTGGAGGAAGCTGAGATGCCTTGGAAAGAGGCCAGGCTCTGGAGTAGTCTCAGGACTTGGGTTTCATTACCCCTCCAGGATTCAATTGTCTTATCTGTTAAAAGTGATTGAGAAGGTAAGAAATAATGCCCTTTAAGTGTCTGACGAAGAGCTGAACCCATGACAGATACTCACAGCTTCATAGTGCAATGCAAATTCTACTATAATTAATTCTACTATAATCTAATATAATTAATTCTACTATAATTATTAATATAATAATAATTCCATAAACATTATATGTGCTTTCATATTGCCTGCTTTCTGGTCATATGATTTCTTCCCTCTCTGGAGAACCATTTCCTGCCTAATGAATTTTTCCAAGTCTGTGAATAACTTTCTCTGGGAGCCCTCTTGTTAACTGGTACCTTTCCCATAATGCAACTATTCACATTTGCCCATCATGGCATTACCAATATCCCTGTCCCTGATCCCCTCCTGGGAGGACAGGGACTGTCTCCTTCCTCTCTGTCTCCCTCCTGCCTGTGTAGGACCTCACATGGACAGGTGCTCAGTGGCCCACCCAAGCACTAGCCCAAGCTCCTGGACAGACTCCCCCTTCTCACTGCTCCCCTCATGGGCCCATCATACCTATGGCGTAGCCATCGGGACACTGCAGTTTGAGGTTGCTGTTGAGCTGGTTTGGGGCCGAACATTGGCCTTGCATTTCCGGGCAGACATGGAAGGAGCCACTCCAGTTACCATCTTTTCGGCAGTGGATGATGTTGCTCCCGGGTCCCTGAGCACCAGAATGAAAGAGGAAATGACTTCTCATCTTCCTACAGTTCTAAAAATTCTTCCCAAATAATTTGTTAACTATGGGTGATATTCAGTCATTCAGAAAAAGAGGTATTTTTAGTATTTTCCATTTTACAGATGAGAAAACTGAGGACTCAGAGCAGGAAGAAACTTGCTTCAGGCTTTCCAGACAACCTAATGCCCAAGTTTTCTAAATCCTATCTTAGTGGTCATTCAAAATTTTAATCAGAGAATTACAGCTTGAATTTATGATGTTTATTATTGTTATTTTTGTTTGTTTTTGGCAGTACTGGAGTTTGAATTCAAGGCTTTGTCCTTGCTTAGGCAGACACTCTACTACTTGAGTCACACTCCCAGTCTGTTTTTGCTTTTAAGTTATTTTTCAGGTAGGGTCTTGCATTTTTGTCTGGGGCCAGGACTCAAACCACAATCTTCCTGCTTATGGCCTCCCTCATAGATGGGATCACAGAGTCTCGTCACCATACCTGGCTTGTTTGTTGATAGGGGGTGGGGGTGTCTCACTAACTTTTTGCCAGAGCTGGCCTCAAACCACAGTCCTCCTGATCTCTGCCTCCAAAGTAGCTTGGATTATAGACATGAGCCACTCACTGTACTATTCTTTTTTAATTGAAAAGGTAGGGTTAGCTCCCATACTTAGACAGCTGGCAACAATGTGTATACTGGAGCTATTCATAAAGAGATAGGTATGCGAGAAAGCTTATTTCCTCCCAGCCTATGGGAGGGCATCCCAGGTTAGGGTTTTGCTTTATATGCCCAGGTGAAAGCCTGTATTTTCCAAGGCCTTCCTTCTCTGGCTCTTCCCTTTCTTTTCAGCAATAATGGCACCAAGTAGGTGGTGTACGGATATTTCTATCTGTGCTCCCTTCCTGATTCTTTAAAATAGGCAGTATGTTCTTTTTCAATCTTCTGAAAAATATTAGGCAACAGCAGCTTGAAGATAAAGCCCCTTCTTCAAGTCCCTTCTAACCTCTGAGATTCTAATGGTTGGTCCTCCTTTTTAGGTATTTCAATGCTGTATCTGAGTTCAAAGAATGTTCCCTCGTACCCACTCTGTGCCCATTCTGTGGGGCACAAAAGAACAGAGGGTCAGTGAGCTGGGCAGTGAGTGGGAAGGCAGCTGGGAGCAACCAGCCATGACAATGTGACTGCTCAGTGACACAGGCAAAGATGGCCCCAGGACTGTGAGTACTGGGGAAGGGTAACTGGCTGTGAGGGTGCACCTGACTGTGAGGAAGGACTCTTAGTGGAGGCAATATACACAACAGTCATCAGGGACGGGAAGATCACAGGCAGAAATGGAACAGAGGGAACATTCCTGAGTGACACAAGGGTAGAATAGTGTAGTAAGCATGGGAGAGGCAGGCATGGTTCTAGTTTTATGATGCAAAAGAAGGGTCCAGCTGGTGGTAACACAGAGGTGATGTGGGATCTTAGATGTCAACTTCAGGAGTGTGGACTTTGCCCAAAGAAAGGGAAAAAACATAGATGGTTTCAGTGCAGGGTCTATCTTCTGAGAGATTTCAGAATAAGCTGTATATGCCTTTCCTCTTTGAGGCTTAAAATAAGGCAAGTAACTCAATGTGAGGCCAGAGATGCTGACTATGCACCATCAGAACAAAACTCCAGGTAGTGGCTCCGATGACCTTCTGCTTCCATTCAGACTTCTGTGTCTGCCCTCCAGAGTCTTCCCAGCCTTACCTCTGCTTAGGTCTCCAGCTCCTGGTTCACCACAGCACCACCACCAACCCTGAACACTAGTTTTAACTGCTTACAGTCTTGAAGGCATCATGTGTTCTGCTTTTGTGATTGCTGCTTCCTCCATCTGCTATGCCCCCACTCCTATCCACCAGTAAACACCTTATCCAGCCCAATACTCCCTGTCCTAATTTCACCTGGATACTGCATAGTACACTACCTCAATGTCTCTGACAGGTGTTACCTTTGTTTATCATCATATCCCAACTAGTCAAAGAGTTCTGTAGGGCTTGGACTGTGCCCCACTCATCCCTGTGAAATCAGTGCTATCTATCATCCTGGCCATCAGTCCCTTTACCTCTCCATAGATATTTTGTTCATTCTGGTTAAATATTTGGATGTTTAATCAAAGATGGAGTGAATAAGGGGAGAGTGATTGAATGAATTTTTAATGAAGAAGATAAAAAAATACATAGCCAAGAAAATTAATGCATAAGTGAATAGATGAACAAATGAATGAATGAGGAAATAAATTATATGTGTCTGCATAAGGAAAGGAATAAACTCTGTAAAAGGGCTGATGTGGGCTAAAGCTGCCCTGTCTGAGAAAACAGCTGCAAAAAGACAGGATTGAGAGGAGAAAGGGGGCCCCTCTATGGGTCTCTCCCAGGCCAGCAGGAGGATGGTGACATAGCAAGAGAGGACCCCTAACCATGGGAGAAGGTGACCCATCCTGAGCACCCAGCTATGGGATGACTTGCAGAGTCACTCGCGTGACTTAACACAAGCTCGTGGCAAATTTATGCATCTTCACGTGGTTTTCGAGAACCCAGAATCTCCCTCTCGGAGCCCCAGGCTCCAGGCCCCATGATTCTGCTGGGCCCTCAGGGGAGTAGGAAATTGACCCCAATTTCCTGGAGCCTTGGCCTGGGCCTATGATGCATTTGGCCTCCAGCCCCTGAAGGGCTGCAGACCTCAGCACTCTGTGGGCCAGAGCTGGCTGGGGAGCTGGGTTTGCAGGACAGAATGTATTAGAACTTAGAATCTGCTCAGGGAGCTTCAGACAGGGAGGCCTCAACATGGAAGGAAGGTGGGAGCCTAAGGTTCCAGTCTCTCTCTCTATCTTTCTCTGTCTGTCTCTCTTTCTTCCCTGCCTGGCTCATCTGGTACTTTCTGCTGCTAAATCTTCCTTTGAAAACATGGCACCCTTCTGCTAAAACACCTTAGCCTTCAGAACAAGGCTCACCCATGGGCAAGTATTTCAGGGCTTCCAATGGACTCCAGATGATACTTCTAGCCCCACCTCTTGCTAGTACGTGGCATTTCCTCTAGTCAGGCCCAGTGACAAGTCTCATCTCTCCTGCAGCTCTCTTCTTCCCCACCTCCAAGGTCTGCCTATGCTATACTCTGTGCTGAGCAGACTCTCTGGAGCCTCTAGATGCTCAGATCCTCCCTCAGGACTCCATCTTGGCACACAAAGCCCCTGCCAGCCACTTGACATGGGGAAGATCTTTGCCAATTGCTAGGTCTAGTTTGAACATAGAAGAACTGCAGTTGAGGATCTAATCTGGTAAAACCAGGGATCATTTTTATGGTTATTGTCAGGGATCTGGGTGTTTTTGGCTTCAGAGACACAATTTCACATGCTGAGATTAAGTCTTAACAGAGTGCTGAGCATTTTTCACCAAAACAGTTTACCTCTCTGTGCCTATGCATCTACCTATAAAAAAGCATGTTGTACTCTCTTGAACTCCTTGCCTTTTTAGACAATAGGTCCGCAGAAAGCTTAAGGCATTAAACAATTATATTATCAAACACTCATTACAGGCCCAGTGTTCTAAACACCATTCTAATGATTGAATAGACCAGAAATCATGTCCCTCTTATCTTTTATAGATTTGAAAACTGAGGCTGAGTACGGAAGTGAAACAAGTGAGTTTGAGACCTATGACTGTGTAAGGGTAAGAGCATCAGTTTAAGTCAAGTTGCCCAGATTCAAATGCCAGCTCTGCAACTTCCCAGCTGTGTGAATTTGGCGAAGTCTCTTAACTTGTCTACCCTCAATTCCCTTGACTGTTGGTGGGTGGAGAGATACTGCCTAATCGATTCATCATGAGGCTACTGTTACCAGTTTATGGAATCGTTTAAACCCCGTACACACACACTGGGCAGTATAGAAGCTGAAGTTCATAACCGCTCTGCCGCACTATCTCCATGGAATTTCAGAAGCAAGGTCACCAACAGTGTATCTCACAAGCGGTGACAGCCAGAAGGCAGAACATTGGCCAAATCACAGAACTGGCTGAAGCCAGAACCCTGTCCCTTTACTGTACACCTCTGTGCCTTTGCAATAGTTGGGGGGAAGAAAAGAAGAGGGGCAGAGGGAAAGGGAGAACAAGACTTATCTTGAGTGGAAATGTAAATGAACACTATCATGGCAGAGGGAAACATGGTAGCATTGGAGTCAGGCAAAACCAGGTGGCATGGTGTAGGGGTTTAGGGCTGAGTATTGGAGGCAGCGCGGCCTCAAGATAGGAGACTGAGTTCTACCGTGCACTAGTTGTATAGCAAGAAGCAAACACTTTCTCCTCATTGAACTTCAGCTTCCTTCTTTGTAAAATAGAGCAGTAATGTGGGATGCTGTAGGGCTTAAGTGAAGTCATCAGTGCGAGCACTTTGCCCAGTAACTGGCAAGTAGAAAGGACTCACTAAGCTGCAATTGCTCTAAGTCATCCGTCTCTGTTCCCAGCCAATGCCCTCATGGGCATTCTGTTTCTTCTGGGTCAGGTGCAGGGATGACATGAAGTCCCAGGCAGGAGGATGGGCAGAACATATGCCTTGTGCCCTGACATGGTGTGGAGACTTGGCTTGAGACTTGGCTCTGCCAGTAACTTGTGTGACACTCCTTTTGGTGCTTCCTTGGTCCCACCTGTAAAGTAAGTGGGTTGCAGTGGGGGTCTCTGAGGTCCTGCTGTGCTCTAACAGTGCATAATTCTGTGATTTTTTTTTTTTTTTACTTCCCCAGGCAGTTATGAGTACATGGGCACACCTTTAACAACCTCCAAACTGGCTGAGACACTGTACCCATGGGAGCTGTTCTGCAGACATGGCAGAGCCCATAAGGACAGGGGTCAACAACTTGCAACTGGTGGCAGAAAGGCTTTACAGCCACCCTCTGTGAGCCACTGGTGCAAGGAATGGAGCTTACTATTGATTCTGCTCCCACCCTTCCTCTCTTGCTCCTGCTGAATTGCTAAAACCCATTGTTAGGCATACTACTTGCTCTACAAAGTATCATTAGCCTTTGTTCCCTCCTGCTGGATGTGTCTTTCACAAACCCTGCACCATCCTGGGGTTGACTGCTCCCCTGTTCACCTCCTCTGTCACCTCACACAGCTCAGGAGCATCTGAGCTGGATTAAATCCTGAGGCCATTAGCACTTTTCCCCAGCTACTTGGGAATGGAATTCCTGCCTTTTGCCATCAGCCTGATTTGGTGGACAGTGGGTAGAGCAGGCTGTGGAGTCAGAAAATACCACTTACTAACTCAAAACTATGGGTAAGAATGCAGCCTTGCCAGGCTTTCTTTCCCCATCTGTAAAATGGGGATTTCTGTTTCTTTCTCAAGAGTTTGTTATAAGTTATCAAAATGAAAGAAAGTCTACAATACTAGCTTGGCACCCATAAAACACTCAAACAAACAAACAAACAAAGCTACAGTCAATATGCTAAGTGTAAGTGTAGCTATTTACATTTTAAATTTGAATTAAGCACATGTTTTATGTGCTCTAAAGACACATGTGGCTGGAGGCATAGCACACATATAGAACATTTCATCATAGCAGAAAGTTCTCCTGGGCAGGGCTGGTAAGAGGGACTTGAGGGCCATTTATTCTACAGGTTTATTTGAGAAGGCATCCAGGTTTCACTATCGCTATAGAGTTCCTCCCACCACACCCTGGTTTTCCGCAGGATAAGTGCTCCTTCTCTGGCTTTCTACAACTAGCTTGTAGAGGGCTATGCTGCAATCTGTTGCCGTTATTTTTAGTTCCTCTGGGAGCCCACATGGAGCAGCAGGAATTCTTTCTCCTGGAATGACCTTAAAGACAGGTTAGTTCATTTCTATCTTCTCCAGGGCTGCCATGTATGGTCTCATATATTGTGCACTGCACAACTCCAAGAGGAACCATAGCTGTACCCTACTTTCATTTAAATATCACCAATGAACTATGAGATAGGTAGTATATGCCTCCCATTTCCATTTCCCCCAAGGAAACTGAAGCTTAAAGAGTTAAGTAACTTGCATACCACCTCTCCCCACTTCCCAGGTACTGAATGGTGAAGTCAGCATTCCAACTCAGGCTCCATTAAACCCAGCATCATGCTGGCTCCGGCAGAATGAATGCTGTAGAATGCTGTTATTATTGCTGTTATTATTATTATTATCAATATTAATTTGCTTTTAGTGGTGGTGAAGGGGTAAATCTCCTTGTAAGTGCCCCATCTTTTCCTGTCAGGATCTGGATGGAACTGCTTTGGAAAGCAGAGAATCTCTGCTGCATACATCTGTTGGATTTAAGATGCTCGGGCAGTAGGTTCTGCCGTGTTTACAGTCAGTGAGAGGGAATCTGAGGTGAATACTAGTTTTGGCTCTCAGGCCCCTGGTCTGAGGGTAGAGAAAATTCATTTTCAGTACAAACCAGAAACGTCAATTGTGCTAGGAGCCCATTTGGCACGGGCTCCTCCATTCTTCCAGCCGACAGGCCATACCCTGCTGCATCATGTCTCGCCTCTCTACCAGCTGCCAAACAGCACTGCCCAAGTCATCTGATAAATTTACATTTTCCTCTCCTTTAAATGCAAACTGGCCATGGAAGTTACTTGGCAGGCCCCAGGCAGACCGGGTTTCAGTTTGATAACATGACTGCGGCCAGAATATGACTCGAGGGAAGGTGATCGGCCTGCAAGAGGCTATGGTAATCCTGGCCTTCACTTGTTCTGGCACTTGCTGGGCTTCCCTGACACTCAAGGGCAGCAATGACTCCTAGGAGTGAACACAGACACTGCAAGTGCACACTATCAAGGGTTTGCAGGTGGCGCCGACTGGACTCAGTGTGATCATGGCTGGGGGCACCTGAGCTCTGATCTGACTCCACTGATGCCAACTGTGTTATACCCTGGGTGCTGAGCAACCTCTCTGAGTCTTGGGTTTTTGCTCTGGAAAATGAAGAAGTTGACTTCCAAGTGCATTTCAGCCCTTATGCCCTTAACAACTGGCAGTTCCTGAGGACCTACTAGGTGCCTGGCCCTGTCCTGAGTGCTGAAGACTCAGAAAAGATGCAGTGAAGGTCTTCACAGCTCAGCGTGGGTGTGGTAAATGCATCAGAGACTAACAATGTAATTGTGGCCAATGCTGAGAGAGGGGTAGTCTTGCAGTGGAAGGGACATTGAGAAAGGGTTCTCAGAGGAAGGAATGCCTTGGCCAAAGTGTGGAGGAGGAGGAGGAGGAGGTACCAGGCTGCTGGGAGAGTGAGAGGCCTGGATAAGGCAGAGAATGCAGGAGAAGCAGGGGAGGCAGACCTCACTGGGGGTAAGGGAGGGGTTTGGAATGCTACAGGAAAGAACATTCAGCAGAGGTGGGCACGAATGCTAGACTTCCTTCTAGTTACATGTAGCTTGAGGAAAAATTCAAATCCTGCAAGCTCCGTGTATCCTCCCTTTCTTCCACATGTACTCAAAACTGCCCTTTTAACTTTACCAGGGCCCCCTGTCTCTTAATGCTTCAAAGCCAACTGATGTCTAAAGACAGTGGTAGTCTTGTAACCTTCAAGGACAATGTAGGTGATGATTGTGGCAGAAAAGTGGCAAAGCAAGTCCTGGTCTTTCTAATCATAGTGACTTAACTGATCAGTTTCATACATGACTTCATTTAATAACTGCTCAATGAATATCCAGTGGGTTTCAATGCTAAAAAAAAATCAAAAGATAAGGATCTCCAAACAAATAAAATATGCCATTGTAGGGAGAGAAATGAAGCTCAGAAAGATTATAAATGAAAGTATTTAGAGCCCAGTTTCTTAGTTCCTGTGATTGTGATGTCACTATTATAGCTTGGACCCTGCAGACAGACTGCTGGAGAGAGTAGTTGTTAAGGTCCAGGCTGGTCAGGTTCCAGGGGACTTACCTGGGAGGTGTCACTGTCTTCACACTTGATTCTACACTCGCTGTTGAACTGGAAGTCATTAGTGCACTGGTAGAGCCCATGGAATTTGGGCGGAGGTGGGTCACAGGTCACAGGAACACAAGCTCCCTCCTGCCAGCTGCCATCTTGGGTACACTGAGTCTTGAAGGCCCGTCTTCAAGAAAGAAATGCAAGAAGGGACACCTCAAGTACCAAATGGCTACACTCATACCTGCCCCAGTCACCACCAGGTGGTCTCACATTCTCTTGCCTATCCATGATTTCCTCTTGTCCTATTAGGTGGACAAGTGTAAGGATTAAGGAAAAATCATTTCCACTACTCCGTCAGCAGAGGCAAACAGGAACGTCAAACTTTCTCTCATTTACATGAGATGTGAGACAAAATGTGATCCCCACCAGCTCCTTGTCCTGTCTTTTCCTTCCAGAATGTTCCGATGGGTGGTAGCACAATGATGATATAAACACCTGTCATTTATTGAACAACTACTATGTGTAAGGTACTTTGCAAGCACTTTGCACACACATCCTTGTTGATTCTTCACAAATTCTGTGTGATATCTATTGCTATCTTGCTCATTTTGTTGCTAAAATATGGAAAGACCAGAGAAGTGAAGTCAGTTTTGGGTGCTTCACACAGACCAGAATGGGATAAACAGTGAATATTGCCTCCAGCATAGCAACCAATGTTTTCTTCCAAACAGGCAGCCATGTCTGACTTTGTACCTCCCCACAGCCAGTAAGTTGTTCCCATCCCCACTTACTTCTTTGACTTCCGGGAGGAGCCAAGTACATGGTATCCAGGTTTGCACTTGTACTTGCAGAAGGAGCCCACCTTGTGCTTGTTCTCTCGACACCGGGCAGTCTGGAGGTCTGCATTGGGGACTGGTGGTGGAGCAAGGCACATAAGTTCGCACAGGGCCTCTGGGAAGGACCACAGCCCATCTTCCATACAGGTCAGGAGACTGTTGTTGCCTGGAGGACATGGGCAGGTAGGGTGAGCAGAGGGAGGTCCAGCAGCTGAACTGACACATAGCTGCCTGGATTTTAGACTCTATGACTATCCACAGGATCCTTCACTGGAATCCTACCCCACTTCACTTATAAAAGAGGATCCTAGGGAGCTCAAGAGAGCTGCCACAAAGAAAAGGAGATGTATTATATTCTCCTCTCCTTCACTTCATACACATCTATGTTAATGGAATAAGGAAACCCATTAAAAGCTGTTTAAGAAGAGGGAGAAGAAAGAGTAATAAAGAGGGTGAGTCTGATCAAAGTACATTATGTGTATGTACGGAAATATGAAACCCCTTTGTACAATTAAAATACACTAATAAAAACAGAGAAGAGAAGTTGACTGAAACTGGTGAGTAAATTACCCTGTGTCTAAGTGAATTAAAATCCAAGGCTTCTGACTCCTGATTGTGAATCTCTTGTGCTGCACAGAGAAGAGACCTTCACCATCCTTCCATCCATTGCCACTTGCTTTCCAAGTGTGCATCTTTGCCCAGAGACATAAGACCTGCCTTCTGATAGTTGCCAGCCTAAGCTTCTATCAGAATCTACTCCAGGCTCAGATGCCAGTGTGCTGTGTGACCTCAAGTTACCACTGCCCCGTGGGCCCCTCCCTGTATCTGTCCTGGTCTCTAACGCCTGGAAGTGACAGCATCATGTTATCATGAGGTTTGATTTTTCTGTTCCGGGCCCCAGTACTCAGTGAGACTCTGCAAAGCAGCTGAGAGAGCAGCACTTCCGGCCTCCTGAGTCAGCTCTGACAGAGGGCTGATTGCCATCAGGACGCTAGCCTGATGGGGGACGTTACAAATAAAAGTAAAACCCAGGAAAGAGGCTTTTCACTGCCAGCTCATACATTATCAAGGCATGGGCTGCCCAATACCCCCCAAGACAATTAGAGGAGGACCTGGAACTGGTGTTTGTCCACCGAACTCTCCTCTCCCTGTTTATTATGGAATGGTGTTGACAACCAGGGCTGGAAACATGTGGGAGGCTCTGGGATTTGAAGGTTGAAGAGGTGGAGTGAGGGGGAGGAAACTGACATTTATTGAGCAGTTACTATGTGGAGTGCTTCTGTATACAATCTTATTTATTCATTCCATAACAGTGTACTTAAAAGGGAGACCCAGAGAAGGACTTGACTAAGTTCTTATAGCTTGTCTATAGCAAAAGGCAAAAGCCAGGTTCGAAACCAATTTAGCCTAACTACAGAGAAGGTTATTTTCATTGGGAAGCTGGTTATATACATGCCCTGCAGAGCCTTTATTTTCCATTCTGGGAGATTCCAGCTTCAAAAATCCTATCCATAGAAAGGAAACAAATTGCATCAGCCCTTCCAGGGTTGAGAAGATTAAATGCAACAGCACTTATGAAAAGGACTCATAAAAGCACATCATGGTGGTACATGACTATAATCCCAGCACTCAGGGAGGCTTAAAGAAGGAGGATCAAGATTTCGAGGCCAGCCTGGGCTACATAGTAAGATCTCGTTTCAGAAACAACAACAACAAAATGCACCACTGTACCTTTTTGCTTCTTAATTTCTCCCCTCTATCCCCTTTCTCATAACTTTTTACCTTCATTAGTAGATCTGAAAGGACCATGTGAGTTGTTCAGAAGCCTTCATTCATTCAAGCATCTATTTAGTGCTGACAGAGTGTCAATTACTTTCATACGTTGAGGCCAAAACAGTGAATAAAACAAAACAAAAATAACCCTATTCTTGTGGAGCTTATAATCTAATGAGATAAGGAGGAACATAATAAATTATCCTAAAAAAGTTAATTATTAGCTGGGCACCAGTGGCCCAGCTACTCAGGAGGCAGAAATCAGGAGGATTGCAGTTCAAAGCCAGCCTGGGCAAATAGTTCATGAGACCCTATCTTGAAAAACTCTTCACAAAAATAGGGCTGGTGGAGTAGTTCAAGGTTAAGGCCCTGAGTTCAAGCCCCAGTATCACACACACAAAAAAAAGTAAATTATGTAGTGCTCTAGAAGTGACAAGAACCTCAGAGAAAAAATAGAACAGAAGAAGGAAGATCAGGGAGAGAATGCTTTATGCTGACTCCTGCTTCTCCTCTCCTCATTCATTTTCTACTCTTTTCTCCCTTGCCAGAGTGATTCATCTGGTTAGGTTTAGTGTTTGGAAATCCCATAGAAAATACTAACAGATAAACTGTCTAACTGATAAAATGTAATTCTTCCAACTATAGATATTTTCACATCATCCAGAAAGAGTAAAGGGTATGGAAGGGTGATTCATTTGGCTTCTGCAGAAGCAGAGACTTCTAGAACACCAGGGATTACACATTCTTTTTTGCAATGCTTTTGGGACTATGGTGGTTAGTGGTTTGGGATGACTGGGCATAGCATAAGCTTAAAGGGGAACTATAAAAGATAAAGAGAGCACACTGTACATTGCCCAAGAGGGATAAAATATCAGTGGTCAAACTGTTGGGATCATATCAGCTAGGCAAATTGTAAATTGTGAAGTGAGAGTTGTAGTTCTTGTGCTGCGAGATAACATAAAAATTACAGAATGCAATCAACAGAGACAATACTAAGTAAAAATGTACATTCTGAGAAAGTAAGTAGGAGTTAGCGGTGTGAAAAGAAGAACAAAGCTGGGCAGGAAGTGGTAGTTCAGGACCAGAGAAATGTCACCCACCTACACAAGAGGAGATGCAGACAACGAACTGGAGAAAATTTATTTCCAGGCTCCAGCTGTAGCCACTAGCTGCATCCACTAAATGATGTTAAAGAAAGGAAAGTATGACAGATGCAGTCTGTGTCCTTCCCTCATGACCTTGACTTTGACCTTTGAACCATGAAGAATGGTTACTGCACTGAGGCACATGCAGGACAAGCTGAAGTGTAAGGAGGTAGTGTCCCTGGAAGCAGCATTCAATTCGTTATGGAGTTGGAGAACTCACATGCCAGCTACAGAGTTTTGATCATTTGGGTGTGTTCTGCACTGTCCCTCAGAGTTCCTCAGAGGGACTGACTTCCAGTTGTGTGCAATGGTTATTGGCTTTAGAAAAGACACTGTTGATTTGTCAGTATTATTGTCTCCTCTCTTCAACCTCATGTTTCCTAGGGAACATGACTCAGGTCACAAAGTGCAGGCATGTCTGAGCCTGGAGTTCCTAGCAGAGGACAAGAGTGTTAACATTAGAGATGAGGTTCTCATGAGTTTTGGGACCCTTCCATTGTTCAAGACTTTTTTTTTTTTTTTTTTGCTGGGACTTGGATTTGAACTCAGACTTCATGCTTACAGAGCAGGTGCTCACACCTCCAGTCTATTTTGCTCTGGTTATTTTTAAGATGGGGTTTCATGAGCTATTTGCCTGGGCTGGTCTTGAATCTCAGTTCTCCCGATCTCAGCCTCCCAACCAGCTGGGAATTACAGGCTTGAGCCACCAACATCTGGCTCATTTGTTCAACCATTACAGTCAAAAAAAAAATGCATATTGCTCAGCCTTTCTACAAATATGGCTAAGGAAATTTAAATCTCTAGTAAGTATTAAAATAATTATAAAATTCTAGTAATGTCAGAAAAGTGGTACTTGTTATTATTCCACTAAAAAGGTTACCTTGAAGACCAAGTCTCTTCAGGACTGCTTTTAAGGAAAAATAAGTTCTGGTATTCTATGGCACAGTAGGGTGATGATAGTCAACAATACAGTATTGTATATTTCAAAATAACTGTAAGAAAAGATTTTGAATATTCTCCCCACAAAGAAATGATAAATGTTTAAAGTGACAGATATGCCTGTTACCCTGATTTGATCATTATACAATGTATATACATGTATCAAAACATCACATCGTCTCCCATAAATATGTGCAATTATAATGTGTGAATCAATTTTTTTGTTTGTAAATTGAAAATAACATAGAATAGAATCCAAGGAAGAAAATTTCAGACCTTCAGTCTAGTTTTCTTAACATTTGCCTGATGATGTTGGCACTGCCCAGGTCAGAAGGCAAGGGCTAGATCTTATGCATTCTTATATATTCTTATGTATTCCCAGAGCCTAGTCTACTAGATCTTCAATTTCTGTTAAATACATGAAGCACCATGAATCTACCTATGATATTGAATAAGTCATTTAAACTGCCTGACCCTAAGCTATCTGTGAGCTCTTCACCAGTATAAGCTGTAAAAGGATATTGGTCACTACTTAGTTTGAAGAAACAAAAATACAGTCCATAGGTCTGCAGTATGGCAAGCAAGTGTTCAAAAGGCCTCATTAGTCCAAGGCTAGTACTAGTGGGATTGAAAGGAGATTCCATTTCATTGCTCTTGGTAAGGAACAGACATTAACAGAAGTTATAGAAGAAGGAGAGAAAGCACAAATAGGAGAGGGCCAGGTGGAGCAGGAAATGAGGGCACAGAGGATTTTAAGCTGATTGTTTTCCCAAAAATAGCCTATGATACCTCAGCCATCATTTTCGCTGGAGAAATTCAGGAAGAAGGTGAAGCAGAACTGGAGACATCAAAAGAAGCATGCAATTTCTCTGGCAATTTTCATTCTGAACATGCATTTCCAGGCTCTTAGAATCCCAAGGAGTCTCACAGCACATTTGCATTGGCCTTGACAATCACAGTAAGTTTGTCACTTGCTCAGTAAAGATGCACTCTCACATCTCCAACATGAGTAAATCAGACTGACTTTTGGTTGTTCAAATGTCCATTTGTTAAAATATCTGACAAGAAGTCTACCGAGGGCTGTCTGTGAGTTCATGGGGCAGATCTAGGAAGACTCATTACCACCATCTCTTTGGTTCTCTTGTTAACTAAATTAATCATTATCCCCATTTTCTAAGTGAGAAAAGTAAGATTCTGATAATGTGAAACGAATGGTTGCTCAAACTTGTGTTAGGGCTCAGTTCAGGTCTGTCTGAAAATCCTTCCTAACAAGGAGAAGAAAGGAGTCTGGAATATTGGACACTTCTATCTACTCAGGGACAGAGGAATGAAAATGAAAAAGACACAAATTAGACTATTTAAACAGTGCAAGTAAGACGAAATGCTAAGCACCATTGGATATGACTACCCTCCACATCTACCCAGATCTCACTCCATCTTAAGTAAAGCCTAAGCAATTAAAAAATGCTCAGCAGACTGGACCTCTCATGGAAACTAGCAAATAGACTGAGATAAAAGGCTGAGACAGAAAAACCAACAATAAGAGCAAGAAGTAGAAAAAAAGGTCTTTCACAAAGATCTTTGTAGAGTGGAACCATGCTTACTTTAGAAGCTACTCTTCCTAGTAAATATTAAATGCACTCAACATGGTTGAATTGAGTTGCAGTTAACCAGTTGATGTGAGTAATATTGTATTTTTAGCCATTTAACTAAACATTTATGGGTTTGATCTTGAGGTTGTCATCTTTTCTGAATTTGAGAGGACTCTCCTCATGCATTTTGGTACATTCCACCTATGTTTACAGCACTCCTTTGATAAAGAACCTTGGCAGAAGTTATTTTAAAATTGTGAACTCTCAGGATAGTTTGCATAAATCTAAAAGAAAGGTTGGATTTTAAGAGAAATTTCAGAATACTTGGGAAAAGTTCACCTGGAATATAGGAACAACTGGAATGGTGCTGCTTGTATTAGATTCCTTGGGACTACAGTTCATGGGTGGTCCTGGGTGGTAGCTGCTCTTCTGAAAATACCAACTTGAGGGCCTGGGAGGAACATGGAGGACAAGACATGTCTCCATAGTTCCCATACCAAGGAATCCATGGACAAAGAAGTCAGGGGCTAGGAGATCAGCCACTGCTTTACGGGATGCCTTTGGGAGCAAATGAGTATTGGCGTTTGTAAACGCCATCTCTTTTCATGCTCAGATGAGACCTTCAACATAAGCACTCATCTGTCTATGTTTTAAATGAGGATATGGAGGCCCACAGGTGTGAAATTGCTCACCTAAGATCAAACAGTTGGTAACAGCCAGAGCCAAAAGTACAACCTTACACTTTGATTCTAAAGCTTTTGTTCTTTTTGCTTAAACTATCCTGCAAAGAAAGGAAACACAAAAGATAGAAGGGGGGAGGGCGAAAGAAGCAAAATAATGAGAAAGAAAGTTTTGATCATCTCCTTATTCCTTGGCTTCAAAAAGGAAATAAGTGAGGTAGCATTAATAAGCTCAAGAAAGAGGGATTAGGATCTTCACCCAATCCACACTGTCAGCAGATCCAAGCAGAACTCCCAGAACAGAAATTTATGTACAAGATGATGTTGGAAAACAAGCTGTATGAAATGGAAGGTGGTTCTAGTGGGTTAGAATAGCTAGTAAAAGAGCCACTTCTTTCTATTCTTAAAGTTGGGATCAACAATTACCAAAATGATAGTCCTCCTGAGGCCTCATCTCAATAGTAGATTCCTTCCCTTCCCCCACCCATTATCAACAGAATAGCAATGACAAAAGAGTCTGTATCACTTGATTAAGGGCTATTATTAGTGTCAATGAGAGCTGTAATAATGATTGCTAATTTATACACCTCCTCTTCCCAAGGGCCCCTGATTGAGAGAAGTGTGATTTCCCACTCTAGAGTTGTTAATACATCCTGCATCCCGTTGGCAAATGGACCCAGGCAATGGGTTTGGATGGCCTAGAAATTGGAAGGTTTCCTATTTGCAGCAGTCTCTTCACTTCTCTCTGATCTAAATCTTCATAATAGCCCTAATGAAATGTCTACAACTTTGTTATTCAAATGTTCTTGGGTTAAAAATGAGAGGAACTAAGGAATGTGTCCTAGATGTACTTCCTGCCTTTCTTTTATAAGCTTTTTGGATCTTTCATTCATTTAATAAAAGAAACATGCCATGTGGTCTTTCTTTCTTTATCAATACATCCAGTGAGCCAGTCAGTATATTTTATTGAATCTTATATGTAGTCAGCTTTCTGACTATGTCAACTGCTATCAAGGACCTCAAATTTATATGACCTTTCTAATGTTTTGGGATTTGAGTATCTCCTTGAAAACTTGATGAAACGATTGATATTCTCCAATCACCAAAATATCCCAAATTCAGGCATATACAAGAGTACATCTAATTTTAAGGGTATTCAGAGACTTCATTCAAAATTTCCCACACCTCACAGAACCCCATTCATATACATTCTGTGTCAAGATGACATGCTCAAGTGAGATATATATTTTAGATATTGTATGAAGGGGAAATGTTTCCTCTAACAAATCAGGTGAAAGGGAGAGTTGTGACACCTCTGAAAATCAGGTATGATGTCAAAATACAGTACATATCTGACTACTTGCCAGGACCACTCATCTTGAAATTGCTGCTAAAGTGCTCTATGGTTTTGTAGAAGTTCCTTCCTTGCTAGATTTTGGGTCCTCAATATTTCCAGTTGTTCTTTCTAAGTTATAACAGTCCTTCTGGTCTGATGTATTATAACTTCTTAGGCCAATTTCTTACTGGTTTCCAAAATGTGGCATGCTAGAATCTTATTCACCTCCCAGACCAGGAGGATTCCAGGTGCTTCCTGTCCTCCACATCTACTCCTTTCTCCTCAGCATCACCCAGCCTTCTTATCCTCCTCCTCCTTCCTCCTCCTCTTCTTCTTCTTATTTGGAAGAATATTGGGATTGAACTCAAGGACTTGTACTTGCTAGGCAAGTGCTCTATTACTTGAGCCACACCTTTCGATTTTAGCTTGTTTTTCACATAAAGTCTTGTGTTTTTACTCAAGCTGGTCTTAGTGAACCTCTTATCTCAGCCTTCCAAGTAGCTGGGACCATGGGTGTGTGTCTCCATGTCTGGCTTGTTTTTAAGATATGGTCTCACTTACATTTGTCTGGGTCAGCCTCAAACCACAGTCCTCCTATCTCCACCTCTCAAGTAGCCAGGATTACAGGCATGAACCACCATGCCCTCTTTTTTAAGGAGTTGGCAACATGGTCCCCACCATGAATACAGTGGCCTTGGGCTAGTCCTTTAAACTTTAAGGCTCAGTTTCCTCTCTAAAGATGTGACTACTAACAATATTTACTTTTTTAGGGTTTACTGGGTCCTAATCATAAACAGTGAGCTAAGTGCATCAATTCCAAATATAACTCTCTTTTTTTACACCCTCCCTGCCTGCCTCCATGCCTCTTTCTTTCTTTGCTTTTTTGCAAGATCTGCACCTTGAAGGGGATTTCACTGATATCTTCATTCACATATTTTTTTTTTCTTAGCTGCACAGCAAGGAAAGTTTACATAACTACAATTGGTAAAAACAAATCAGGAGCACAGATACAATGTGGTCCAACTCTTGGTGTATGAAACCCAGGAGGCCTGGAAGCAGTCTCTATGTTTTCTACAGACAAAGGGAAGCCACACTGAGGCAAAGGACCCAGAATACCTTTCAGCTGTGCAGGGTGGCGGCACTGAAAGGAACATTTGCTGCCAAAGGTGGTGCCCTCCAGGCAGGAGAAAGAGGCAGCATAGACATGATGGTGGTCTGGGATGCCACAGTCCACTGGCTCACATGCCACCTGCTTGTTCCATTTGCCCTCTGTGCAGGTCACTGTGATGCTGGGTCCCATCTGAAAGAGACAGCCATGGTGAGGGATGAAAAAGTGGGCCCTAGATATGGGAAAATACCCTTCTCCCCAGGGGACAGCTCAGAGTCTTGTCCAGGAACTCGGAGAACAATACCTAATATTTAACTTTAGCTCACTTTGAATATTATCAACAACTATCTGAACATTCCAGTTTGCTTTTATAGATGCAGAACCTGAAGGTCAGAGACATTTTATGATAGGACCCAGGTTAGCAACCTGGAAAATGAATATGTGGGATTTGAACTTAGAGATGACAATCTGTAGAGTCTCTCAGATCATTATTTCTATTTTTTTATAACAGCCTTGAATTTAGAGACTTTATGGAGCATAGTGACTTCTTGCACAAATTGGATTCTGAAACATAGTTAAATGGTAGAGTACCCAAGATTGTTCTTGGTATCATTCATTAGAGGAGGTTTCAAGGAGCCCATTGGAGTGCTTGGCACACAGTAGGCATTTTCCCAGGATATAAGTGACGTGGATGTTTGTCCTTCAAGTTATTTTGCCCATTGGCCAAATAAATGAATTTAACCCAAGGATTGCTCTAGAAACTATGCTTTACATTCAGATAAGACGGTTCAATAATCAAGAGAGAAAGACATGAAAAAGAAACAAGCCTCTGAAAACTGAAGGGTTCAACAGAGATTTAAACCTAACTAGAAGATGGTAGTCTGTGCAGGTGAAGAGGTGAGACCATGCTGTAGAGCAGAGGGAAGGACTGTCATTGGTAGCCTGGAAGCTTCCATTCAAGGAGGAACTGCCAAATCTGAGAGGATTGGGAATGCCAAATGTTGATCTGAGATTTAAAAGCAAAGGACATTTTCCTCTCTTAGCACAAATCAAAAAGAGTAGAGGTTTCTCACTGCCAAAACAGCTTAATTGTTTCACAGAAATTCAGACTAGCCATATCTGACACATGGAAATCAGTTATCTAAGACAAGCAAGGACAGAAGCTCTGTACAAATAGGTGTTCCTAGCAATCAAGGAACACCTGTGTGCTTGCAGTAAAGTCTACAGGTGGGGCCTTGGAAAACCCTGTATCTAGCCACAGCTCTGGAATACTCAGATCCCAAAGTTGGAAGGAGCTTTAACTGTCCACATGTCCCACTCTCCCTGCCTCACCTGAGGCCCCAAAGCAACATCTGTCTGGGCAAAATTCTGCCATATCACTTCAACCTATTCACTACTGCTAATCTCATGTGGGCTGCGTCCCATCTTCCATGAGCTTTGCTGATGATGTCTCTATTGCCTGTCTCACCACCAGACTCCAAGCCACACCAATGCAGGCAGCAGAAGAGCCATTGTCAGTCTGACCACATCATGTCCTTCAACCACTATTTTGTGCCCAACAATAACCCCCGAACTTCCTGACTAAGCTGGCAAGACATGGCACCAGTGGACCAAGCTTGACCCTCTAGCCCCATGACTTGGATCATTTTAGAAAAACCAAAAATCTCCATCTGTGATATTGTTCTCACCAATGGGCTTCCACATATTATTCCTGCCTGTGTCAGAGTATATGCCTCTCCCCTGCCTCTGTTTTCACATCACTTCTTCAAGGGCACTTTCTTTAAGTTTCCTATATCTCCAAACATTCGAGAAAGAGAGAGAGAGAGAGAGAGAGAGAGAGAGAGAGAGAGAGAGAGAGAGAGACAGAAAGAGACAGAAAGCATTACTAAGTGTATTATGCAGCAACACTATTTTCTGTGCTGGGGATTCTGTAGAAAACCTATTCCACACCCACCAACTTTCCCTGCTGGAGAAGGGCTCTGAATTCAGCACCCCACACACCTGTCTCTTGATCAGCTCATCATCCCGCTGTATTTGCAGCACATATCCCGTCTGGCAGCTCACAGTGCACTGGGCACCATGGTAGCGGTCACTGCTGGAGCAATTGAGAGAAGCATTCTCCACGACCAGCTCTGGACAGCCTGTGGCCTCACAGGCAAAGTGCACACAGCTGGGGAGGAAGAAATGAGAGAGTAAGAAGGGGTTTTCTCACAGGACAATTTGATTCAAGGTGGAAGATAAAGACTGAGCCTTTCCCCAAAATTTTAAGAGGCTGAGACTGAGGAGAGGAAGGGGTTCAGTTTGGAGCAAAGAAGATACTGGAGGATGTGGTTAAGGCTCTCTCTTAAGAACACAAGTTATAAAGTAAGACATTTCAGGTTTCCCATGCTGCCACTTGAAACTTTTGTATGTTATCAAGTTTCCAACCTTGCAGAGCTTCAGTTTTTCCATTTGTAAAATGGGGATCATTATAATTATAGCAAGTGTTTATTGAGTTTCCTATCTGCAAGGTGCTGGGTTGAGTAAAAACGTCTTTGTATTTTAAAAGGGCACCTACTTCCAAGGGTCATGGGGGAAGTTAAATCAATTAATTCAAGAAATGCACACAGAACTCGAAGCACATTCTGAGCAATCAGTGAGTGGTAATTTGTATTATAACTACAGGAGGAGGCTGTACTGTGTTAGCTAGAAGTTGTGTGACTTTTGGCAAGCACATTGTCTCTCTGAGCCTACCTCACAGACTCTACCTCACAGAGACTCAACAGAAGTGCCAGAGGTAGAAGTCCTTGATAACTGTAAAATGACGTATGAATCACTAGTAAAATTACACAGAGAACCTCCCACCTGCCTGCCTATGGAAACTCTGCCCATTCTTCAAGTTGTAGCCACGTGTAAATTTCTATGGGAAGCTCCCTTGTGTCCTCAGGTGAGCTCCCCTTGTAGGCATTCTGTCTTCTTTTGTCTGACACTGCTACCTCACACTTACTGAAAGCCCAGGTTGTCAGAGCCTGTCAGGTACTGAAATGCATGCTAACATTTAAGGAATAAAGAGAAATAACATAAAATTCCTGCATTGGGATGATTTTTCTCTTTATATTACAGTTATGCAGATACTCAGTAGCACTGGCAACAGCAAAGTGAATGCATTCATGAGCTCACTCCATCCTCATAATAACCCTATGAGCTAAGTGTTAATCATTTTACAGCTGGAAAAATTGAGGACCAGCAAGATTAAGTTACCTGTTTAAGTTCCCACCCAGATGTGTGACCCCAAAGTTCGTGTAGCTAACCATGCCTGATTGCACTGGACTAGAACATTGTAGAGGGAAATGATAATGCCTGCTTCATTCTAGTGCACTTTGTGAATATTAGTACCTTGCACCCAGATGTGGTCTAAACAGAAAGAAACAAATAGTAGTGTGTTTAACAATGGATTGTCAGCATTTCACAGAGGATGAGCTGTTGATTCCAACACTGAAAACTTCAGTTCAGTGGCAGTTCTTGCTTACTATTGCTCTCTGACTGTTTTCATCCCCAAACCTATTCTACAGGATTCACAGCTGGTGGAATTTCTATCCAGAACCTCAAGGATTTGTTTTCTTGCTTTTATCTAGGATAGGGGGAGACATTTTGGCCAAACAAGTGTTAGAAGAATTCTTCAAACTTTTTGGTACCAGTTTAAGAATCCCCACTAAGGATTTTTGGAAGGACATGGTTACTCATATCCACACAAAAAATATAATGAGCAACAAAGTGGGAGAAATTGAGGAGCTAAGAGCCTCCAAAACATATCACGAACAAATTAACTTTTTTAAATACTCAGAGAATAACGAGTACTTAATGTGGGTGTCAGACCCTCTCTGATGTGACTTTGTAGTCTCCACATACAGGGCAGGGCAGTTGGCATTTAGTAACACTTGTTGAGCTCTTCTGCTCCCTTCTCCTTACTCCTGAGAGTTCCAGTGCTGCAGCACATGGAGACCTCAAAGAGGCTGTGATTGCAGAGTCAACACATGGGTTTTGACACCAAACAATCTATTGCTCACATTGTACAACACTGGGGGAAAGAAACACATGGCTCCAATTTGAATAGATTTGCTATGTAAGCTACCAGCTTCCAAGCTTAGGTCCCTCTGACCTGTGCCTTACAGTTTGGGCATTGTCAGTTTGCACTCCCAGAAGGCACTTGGCTCCCCTCCTGCAAAGACCCAGAGTGAAAGAGGATGTTCTTCTCTGGGTAAAAGTAAAAGCAGCACCATCCTCTTGTTCTGTGTGCCTTGAAGTTCTTCATAGGAAAATGAAAAATGGAAACACTTTGTTTTTTAGAATAGAAATAGAGCTTATCAATTGGGGAAATCTGCGCTTAAGCCTCAGTTCTGCCATTTATCAGTGGTTGAACCTTGAAATGTATATAGCGGTTTGAGCCCTGGTTTACTCATCTGTAAAAGTGAAAGCAATACAATGATTATTTCTCAAAATTGTCAACAGGGTGAACTATCATCCACTCATTCATCTATTCAACTGATCTCAATTGGGAGCCGACTACCAGATACTGTTGGCAGGTTTCTGCGAATACGATGCTGCCTGTCATCCTGCATATTTAGGGAGGAAGGACATGTACTGAGGAAAAGTAATCAACAAGAGTATTTCAAATAATGATGTACACAGTAAGGATGCTAAAGCAAAATGAAATTATAGAAGGTGATTTTTTGGGGGGGAGGGGGAAGATACTTTTTATAGAAGGATCCATAAGGAAGGGATAGATGAACTAATACCTGGAGAAAATGAAGTGATTAGCCTTAAGAACAACTGGGGCAGTGGGAGTCCCAGGCAGACTACAGAGCAGTTATGAAGCTCTAGGACAGGATGGAGCATGGCGTATTTGTAGAATAGAAAGCTCAATGTGTGAGAAATGCTTGGGACACTATCGAACTCCATGAAGATGGTCTCCCTGTCTCTCTCTGCTACAGAAGGAAAATATGTCCTGGTCACAGGAATTACCTGTCCAAAAGGTTCTATGGCCAGCTGAGGATGGTTAGCATTAGATTAATGAGACCAATCAGCTTTTTTTATTGCAGGACTTCACAGAACCTTAATATTCTAATGCACATGGTAAATGTCCAGAACAGCCTAAGATGAACATCATTTTCCAACTCAGATACCCTTTTCCATGGGACACGTCTTAAGATTAGTGTCTACCTGAGCACACTTCAGGGCATGAAGCAGTTTTTGGTTTTTTAGCTCATATGTCTGCACCTGTATTGCTAGCTTTTAAATAGGAAGAAAAGACAGAATGGAAGCAATCTGTATCAGGCATTAACCACTGTGTTTCGTTTATATCACCTTACTTGCAACAACACAGTAACTGAAGTAGTGATATTATTCCCATTTGGGACTGAGAATTTTAACTTGCTTGCCCAAGGGCACTGAGCTTGGACAGAATTCTGATGAATATCTGTCAGTGTGCTACCTCAGTCTCTTCTCTTTCCTTTGCTATCCTGTTGGTTGGGAAAAGGTATGTGAATACTGTCTAAAAATGAGGACTGTTACTCTAACTGATTCTCCCATGAACTCCCTGATGCAGCTCTATCATTCATTTCTGAAATACAAAAACAAAAACAAGGAAAAGAAAACAAAAAGAACCCGGTTCACTAGAGAAAATGGGGGAGGATTTAACACCAGTGATGAACTGTCCATAAAAATAACAAAAGAAGGAAAAAATTAAGACAGGTTTCCGAAGGAAAGAAGGTGGTTGATTGGATGGATGAGAGAAGGGAAACAGGCAATTGTATTTATCAAATTCTCATATCTAGGCAAAGGTGAAGGCTCCTGGATACAGAGCTAACTAAATATTTCAGCACTTTTTTCTTTGCTTCATACACACACACACACACACACACACGTACATGTTTATGTTTATGTACATATGTATTTATTTTAAAAACCTTTACATATGTGTATTTTGTACAAATGTAAATTCCAAGTGGAGGTAGAAGTGGACACAAAGCATGCTAACAGAAGACATCCAGGCAGTATTTGAATGAGAATAAAGCAGAGATTGAAGAGCTGGTGGTAGAGGGGTTCCGTTCCTAGTTTAACTCCTATGACCTGCTGCTTAGCTGCAATTATGCCATGAAGAAGTAGAGATAATAACAGGCAGGTTGTTTATAAGTCATTCTGGGTTATTCAGATGGAGACAGCAAAAAAAAGACCACAGAAAAAGACTTTATTCAACACTGGAAAATGAAAGGAAACTGCCATGGGCATCAACTCTACAGGACTACTAGGGAAGTGAGACTGAGGAAGACTTAGCATGATAGGACCTCATTTTTCTGCCCAGAAATGAGGCTACCAAGGAAAATGTGATTCTAAAAGACACTTCTAACCTGGACTTCTGTGAGCCAGCCTTGTAGTGTGGTATGCAGACAAGATGTTGAAGAGTAGGAGATACAAACTCAGCAAACCCTGAAGAATCCAGGCAGACAACGTGAATGTTAAGGTGAGCTGGGAGGTGGGCGGGTATGTGCCCAGCCACAGCAGCAGCAATTCTCCGCTGTAGTCCAAAGTTGCACAGTGAGGCAGAGGGTCTATTGCTTTCAAATATTCTGATTTCTTTAAAGAACTCCAGGAAGATTTCTTTTCCTTAATATGAGCTCTCCCAATACTTAAATATTGGCAACTAAGATAACTAATGAGGGCCACAAACAGAAATCTGGCATACAGGACACAGTTTTAAAACCTCTGGTGAAGAGGAAAAAGATTCAAAGCCTGATTCTGCCCCTAATTTTCTAGATAACTTTAAGCGATTCACTTTCCTTACCTGGTTGTGAATTTTTAATTGAGTGAGGATTCAGAACTAGGGAATCTTTGAAAGTGTCAACTTTTGGGCGTCATGATTTTATGAAGACAACAGAGGTATATAATTTCAGAGCCCTTTGGAATACCAAAAAATAGGCTTTGATAATTCAGAATATTTACAAGAGGGAACAACAGGAATTTTGGTGGATTGCTGATGAGGTATGAACTAAACAATGTTTTAGGGACGAGTCAAGCAGTATCTAGTACAGACAAAGATACACAGGTACAGATCCACCTGCAGATACATCCCCTAGAGCAGAGATTCCAACATACGCTGAAAGGCACTGATTCCTTTGTGAATTGGGGAAGCTGGACGGGGTTGTCAGCAGCAATATGAAGCCCATGGTGTTTGGGATCAGCAGCTTCATTCTGGTTTCCAAATCACATATATGCATTGCTATACAATCATCTGATGGGGTGACCTAGCAATGCAGAAGGCAAGGCTTCAGCCTGTGGGCCTCCCACAAACCAAAGTCTATGTCTATCCTCCTGGAAAGAGTTCATCCCAGCCACATGAAGAATGTGTTTCTCACCAAAACAGCCTTCTAAACATTATTCCTCTATCAGCGCTGCCTCTCTGGATGTATGAGCATGTACAAAGGGGAAGAGTTTGAGATAGAAGAAGAAAGAGAATGTGAAAAAATAAAAGAGGTAGGAGGAAGGAAGGAAATAGGAGTGATAGAAGGAAGGAAGAGAATAAAGAAGGAGAGAGGAAGGCAGGATGGGAGGAAGAAAAAGAGAAAGAAACAAAGGATAGTAATTTAATTATTTCCATATGAATTTTGTAGTAAACTTCAGTTTCTATTTAGAACCACAAACTGGATGTATGTGCTTTGCTGTGCTGTGTGTGTGTGTGTGTGTGTGTGTGTGTGTGTGTGTAAGAGAGAGATAGACAGGGAGACAGAGACAGAGAAACAGAGATACACTGGGTCCTACTATCAGGATTTGATCTTTTCTCATTGAAGAAACTAAAGCAGATACCTTAAAGTAACTGAGGCCAATAGGAAAAGGGGAACAGGTACTAGAGAAAAGGTTAGATCAAAAAGAATTAACCTAGAAGGTAACACCCACGCACAGGAAATCAATGTGAGTCAATGCCCTGTATAGATATTCTTATCTCAACCAGCAAAAACCCTTGTTCCTTCCTATTATTGCTTATACTCTCTCTACAACAAAATTAGAAATAAGGGCAAAATAGTTTCTGCTGGGTATTGAGGGGGGGGTAGAGGGAGGGGGCGGAGTGGGTGGTAAGGGAGGGGGTGGGGGCAGGGGGGAGAAATGAACCAAGCCTTGTATGCACATATGAATAATAAAAAAAAAATGAAAAAAAGAAAAAAAAAAGAAGACTCTTACCCTCCTCACCCCACCACGGTGGCTCCCAGTCTTTTCTCTTTTCTTGCCTAGATGTGGAGCTGAGATTTGGCTAGAATTCTACAAGTGGACCTCTCGTTTGAAATCTGATTTTGTTTTTTTTTTGGGGGGCCTCTGAATTTATGCCAAGTGGCTGCACAGGGGTTTGGGGACCCTTAAATGTAGGTCAAAACACAGCAAATGCACTGACTTTGCTATAGCAATGCTTCTCTCGGCAGCCCACTGGATATCACTCTACTCTCTGAAGAAGAGAAGGAAAAAGAGGAAGGGACAAAGAGGAGGAGGGGAAGGAGGGATGCTGGGGGAGGATGTGAAATAGAGTAACCCAGACAGAGGATAGGTGGAAAATGAGAGAGAAAGATGGAGGAAGGAGAGGAAAGGGTGGAGGAAGGGAAAGAGAAGGGGAAAACAGTGCCTTTCACTGGCTGGGGAACAGCTGAGAGTGAAGCCCAAAGCGGCTGAAATCGGTGCTATAAAAAGTGATGCTATTTACCTTGGTGACTTTGAGAATGAAGAACAGTATCCCAGGGCTTTGTACAGTTTTTGCTTATTTTCTTTCCTCTTCAGTTGTTTGTTTTAACGCATTTGCACATTTGCAGAGTCCTGCCTGTTTTGGTCAATGCCTGGGCAGCTCCCTGTGCACAACTGCTGTCCTTTCTCCACTGGGGCATTCAGGAGGAGATCCTGCAGCCCTGCAGCCTTAGCCCTCCAATCAGCCTGGTCCAAGCTCAGAGTCAAGGCAGTCAAAGCCCTAGTGGCTGCATTGCCATGCTTTGCTCAGAACCACACTAAGTAAATGCTTACATATGACCATGACCAGTCCTGAAAACTCTTCTCTTTTCCACATGCTTTCAAGGACAGACAAAGCAGGGTTTACTTCTTACTGCCTTGAGTCCTTGAGTCACTGGCTCTGTTTCTCTGAGTCATACTCTCCCAAAACAGGTTATGAGAATGAAATAAGATAATGTGCTTCTCAGAAGCTCAACAAATGTTTGTCCCTTCTTCTCTCCCTTCATTCCTCCTAGCTAGCTCCTGGAAATCACAAACTGTTAGAACTGGAAAAGAACCACAGACAACATGCAATCTATCTTCATCTTTCTACAGAGAAACTGATAGGGGAAATCTCTTGTCTACACTCATATAAGAAGTCAGACAGTGTAACACTTTGCCCCAGTTCAGTATTCTACAACCAAAGAACTGCAGGAACATATTGATTGATTTGTTTCAGAGGTTAAATACTTTTTACTGTTTTCTTGGAGCACAGGAACTGTTAATTAAGAGAAGTTGATGCTAGCTTTGACCAACTTGTGGATGGTCCAGATGGCTGGCTAAGAATGGAAATGCACTGTGGATAAGGTCTGATGGATTTTCATTTTCCATCAACAGTGTTTCTCTGGGTTCTGAGAATTAACTTATTTTTATAGAATCTGGAAAGCCAGGATAAAAAAGTTCTGTTAGAGTGAAATATGACAATGAGGAATATTTAGGGGGCTCCTGTCTTGCAATCATTGCAACATACTTTGCACAACAGAAGCTGGAGACAGTGGGTGCAAAGCAATGTGGATTTTGCAACCACCTTTTGTGTCCTCTGTGGGAGCAGAGTTGTGGGAAAAGCTGGTGTCCCCTTACAATCCTCCTCCTTTTTTTTCAACTTGTCCCCAGGTATACAAGGCAGAATGAATGACCTTGCAGAGGGCTTCACCAACATACTAACAGTTTCTTTTACCTTCTAGATCTCATTAAGCAAATTTGAGAGATGCTGGGCAATGTTGGGCCTGTTTTTCTCTTTCTAGGACTGTAACATGGAAGTTTGGACATTTTGGGTATTATAGATCATCTCTGAGACTTTTTCAGATCTGACTTCAGAACTTTACACAGACTTCTGTGTACAGCAGCTCCACCATCATTGTTAGAAAGTGCCCCTAAGTTATTTTTATGCATTGATATGTTATTTGATATTATTGATATGTTATTGATTGATTGATTGATAGGCCATCTTTCCACAGTGCGACAGTTAACCTTCATAACCAACCCAAAGAGTTTATTCCAAAATAGAAAAGTGAGACTCAGGAAAGGGAAGTGATGCATACAAGGATACACATTGTAGAAGTGGTAATGTGGAGATTCAAACCCAAGTAAGAATATTCCCAAAGCAAATATTCTTTCTAGAAAATGCCATTCCTTCACATCTCCAAAAGAGGTGTATTAACAGGTGCCAAATCAATAGCACTGACGAAGCAATGCTCTGCAGTTAAGTGACACACTCCTAGACTGGGCATCCTAGGGGTTTAGCTTGTGGAAGACATGAAGGTTCCACCCATTGCTGAAATATATAGTGAACTGGGATGAAGCAAATACCAGTCCCACTCCATCCATCCTACTCAGTTTAGGAGGATTATGCCTCTTGCCTATTCCACCTCTGAAACAGAATATTCTAGCATTTCAGAGCTGAAAGCACTAATCTACCTACTTTGTCTTTGACTAGATGGGGATGTTGAGGCCTAGGGAAGGAAACTGTTATTTCCAGATCACCTGGCATCCTATTATCTACTCGGCAGCTATAAATCAGGTAAGGCCGGGCCTCTTTCCACCACACATCCCCCTGCTTCCTTGCTCACCCCAGAAATTCAGGCCTTGTGGTCTCTCAAACCCCAAAGCTGAGCTGGCCAGAGGTCAAAGGATGGAGAAGGGAGAGACACACATACTTTTAATCACAACATGAATGGCTACTCAATTTCAGAATCATGCTGTCTCCAAGTGGTTACAAATGGCCCAGGGAGAGGAGGCCCAGGATGCCTTACCTCTGCTCGGCAGGGCTGTAGGTCTCTCCTCTCTGGCAGCTGCTCAGGGTGATGGGGTCAAAGTTGTCGAAGGAGCGGAGGGCCACCCCCGAGATGGCGACCAGAGGCGAACTGAAGCTCACACGTACCGCCTGGCTGTGGTAGAAGGGCTGGCTGAGGTCATGGACCACAGGGATAATCAGGGGATTGTTCCTGCAGCTCAGGACATGGAGGCCTGTCAGGAGAGACAGAGGGCCGAGGGGCCAGGCTCATTACTCAAGGCCAGTCACGCCCTCCCCAACGGGCCCTTCCTGAAGCCCCCAGACCCTTTCATGTCACTGCACAAAAGCACCATTGGGCGGCCAGTGGGGATTTTGAGTTTGATTGAAAGTTTCTTTGTCTGCCTTTTTTCTCGGTTCCAAATCTTTCCAATCCCCCTGCCTCCCTGCCCCCTAAGCCTTCCCTTCACCTAGTGCCCATAACCCCTCTCCCTCCCCTCAATGACCACCCTTGGCCAAGCATCCCTGGTCCTCATTCCCTCCCACATTGCCTCAGGGCTTGATGGTTCAGCCTGCCTGCCTGGCCAGTCATAAAGATGGTGAGAATAATTTATAGCAACAGGCCCTTCCCAGTGTGGAAAAGCTCTCTATCATGAGTAATCTGAAAGCCCCAGAGCAGCCCTGTGAGGTAAGGAGCTCTGTGCTCAATCTGCAGAGAAGGAAATTGAGATGCATGGGCTAGAAGTGACTTTCCAGACAGTTGTGGCATGGTCTAAGTAGAATCCAAAATTGCCTTGTTCAAAAATCCTCCATCATTTCTAGTACTGACAGCAGGTCCCCAGGTTTAGAAAGGAAGGGAAAGGATCCCATATGAAGAAAAGATGGACAGGGAGAAAAAAAATATATGAAGGAGATGGGAGGGGAAAGATGGAGTTGGCAAAAGGGTAGTTAGCTGGCTTTGGTATTTGGTGCACCTGGGTTCAAAATGTTGGTTTAGTCACTTCCTGAAGATGGGACTTTAGCAAACTCTGAAATCTCCATTTCCACAACTGAAAAATAGTATAATCCTGACAATGTCCTGGCAGTCTTGCTCTGATGGGAGAGTTCTCCTTTGTGGAAGCATGAAGCTCCAAGTCCAGCTGTTGCCCTTTCTCTGTTCCACTCTCATAGCCGTAAAGCCTCCACTGGGGATGCCAGGATGCTGAGGACAAGAGATTTCGGTGGGGAGGGACAGGAAATGTGGAAGCCTCAGACACTGGTAGCAAGATCCAAGGAGCTTCTGCTGAGCCAGATTTCCCCTCTCTGCTGAGAAGTCTGTCCTCAGAGCCCTTTGCAATGCCAGGACAACTATGAAAATATTTGCTTCTCACTTTGGGAAATTTCCCAGGAATCCAGATAAGTCCAGAGGGGTTTTCGTTCTCTTCTTTTTTGATATGCCCTCCGCCTGCCTTTAAAACTACTGAATAAATAAACATGAAAACAAAACATCTTCCCTTCTCTCTTGGCTTCTATTTGACCCCAAAGTGACCCCTTGTCTGCTTGCTTCTTAAGGGATTTTGAAATGAGCTCTGTGGAATGGTGTGGGCACAGCTTTGAAGTCTGGGCTCCAGTGCTGGCTGGGAATTCCAAACACTTGGAATGGTTACCCAGAGCTCTCCAGGGTAGACTGGAAATGAGAGGGTGTAACAGAACTTTCTTACACCCTCTTTCTTATTCTTCCTGAGAATAGGAAGTTCTTGCTGTCAGTTATTGTCACAAAAGTTAAGTGTTAGGTAATACTTCCCTTTGACCATAATGTAGGCATCATTCTCTTCCCTGGGAATATGAAGAAAGAGATGGTTTGAATGAGGTGCTGAGAGGTTGAGAAAATTGATCACACTTTCAAAGTGAGTGAATGGTAGATGCAGGATTTAAACCTTGGCTCTCAACTCTGAAGTTGGCTCTTTCCCCAATACCAAAGCTCATGTGGGTATGCAGAGAGGTGGTACAAGTGGCAACTATTAACCTGTGCTTTCACTTAGCTCTGTTAAGGGCAGCTTCTCAGCAGGAAGGCCCTAATTCCTTTCTAGGCTCCCTGTTCCTGAACCTCATAGAACACACTTGCTTATTCCTGCTTCCACAGGGGCCTTGTAAGAAGAGTGTACTGACCATATGATCACACATGGAGGAGTTTCACAGGCACCTCTGGCTAGAAGACTATGATTCTGAAACCTGGCTGCTCAGTACTGGTTTGCTGTCTGACCTATATTTATTGGGGTCTCTCTATAGATCTCAGATACTGACATGGACAATGGAAAACTGGCCCTTTCTTAATGTCCTTCCTGAGGTCTTTTGAGGATCCCATGGGATGCCTGACATTAAAGCTTTCTGACAAAAGGGAGCCACTGAAGGGAGGGCTTTTCCATTGTCCCTATATCTGCCAGGTCTGAGTTTCTCTGGATATACAACCATATTTTGATTGAAGCAACTGGAACACCAAATAGTGAAGAGAAAAGAAAGAGAAAAAAAGGAAGAGGTCATTCTAAGTTGATCCTCACAATCACCCATGAGGTAGACATTGAAACAGGTGCTAAGAACTAGCCAAGCACAGGATAACATGCTTGCCTAGATCGTGGCTCTGATTTTTGGTATCAACCAGCTGTACGCTGATGGTCTCTTGCTTTTGGTCCCCATAATATGTCCCATCAGTCACCAAGTGGACAATGACAGCTGCAGCAACCATTGGTTTAGAGAAATATGCCTGAAATAGAGAAGATATGAGATGGTCACTTGTGCTTAGTCACATAGGGAGGAAGCAGCCATACTGGGGTGGATTTGAGGGGGATCTTCTTCCATTTCAAGAACTGGGCCCCTGATTGAAAGGAGGAAGCAGTGAAGCCTAACACTAAGGAGAGCTGGCTCTGAGGTCAGAAACACTGCATCAATTTGGCTCTGCTCCTGGGATACTGAGTGGATGGCTGCACAACTTTGGGCCTAAGTTCCCTCATTCTTAACTGGTAGGTTTAAAAAGAAAAACTAACTACCTCATAGATCTCTCTGAGGTCCTAGTAAGATCATGGAGTACAGTGTCTATTACAAGGCTTGATATACACCAAAACTATACAAAGCCACATGTTCCTTATTATCATTTGTCCATGTTAACCTCCATGTTAGGCACGGAAGAGATAAAGCTAAATAAGATATGGCCCTTGCACTTCTGTGATCCATGGAATTCAAAATAGGTCAGTGACACATAAATCAAATCAATATGATCATAATCTTTAGTCAGGAAGATGGACCAACACATAGTTTGGAATACCATGTGACAGGTGCCATATAATAGGTGACCAAATAAGTGCAGAGCTAGAAGCAAGAAAACAGTCACTTCTTTCTGTGGAGATCAGTAAAGACTTCATGGAGGAAAAGATAATTATGAATGGCCTTTTTGGGTGACAAATAAGACTCAGTCAGGTAAAAAGTATCCAAACTCTTTCCCAATACAAACAATGGGTGGGAGTACTTTATAAGTAATGAAGGGATTTCATTTCAGGAAGCACTCCACTACTAAGTGATCGTATTAAGAGCATCAATGGGTGGACAAAACATCTCCACATAGGGGTCAGTGTTTCCTGGAGACTAGAGCTCAAGATGTCATTGCTCTCAGGACTTGGGCTTACCTGGAGCCAGAAAGTGGTTTGAGCCAGCTGGGAATATGGATAACTGATGGTGCAAGGGTACCAGGCATGCTGGGAAATGCCTTCACTGAGATCTATCACCTTGGTTCTACACACCTGGAAAAAGATAAAGGAAAAAAATAATGTTTTGAGGGTCATGGAAATTCAATTCAATTCAATTGAATAAACTTTTACTATCCATGTATTTTGTTCTTGGTACTGCAAAGAGGAAGTAGGAATGAATAGACAAGAAAGTGTTCTGGGATCTCAGATTCTAATGTAGAGATAACCCTCAATGCTGTTAAAGGAGAGATGACATGTTTTGGTGACAGAGACATTCTTATAGGGACAAATTCTACAGGGCTGACATTTAGATTGGGCCTAGAAGGCACTGCAGAAATGGAACAGAAGCAAAGACTTAGAGAAAAACTGAAACTAGAAATGGTAAGGTTGCTATAAACTGCCTGGAATTGTTAAAGCCTAGGGAAAGTAGCATAAAAGAAAGTTGAGAAATTTGGTTTCACAGTCTTAAATGCCAAGAAAACTACTTTAGAACATGTCTGTGAATTGTGCTCAGAGCTGTATTAAAGATAAAGACAGGACTATGATGAGTGCGTGAGCATTGACTTTCCCATCTCTAAAGAAAATCAATTTCCATCACTTTCTCCTTTCTCTCTCTCTCTCTCTCTCTGTCTCTCCCTCTCTCTTTCCCCTCTCTCTCAGTCTCTGTATCAGTTTTTTTCTCACATGCACACACACACTCAACTCACTCATACACTCACTTATACACTCACTCACTCACTCATCCTCAATGACAGATAATACCCACAGCTCTTAAAAGAAACAGGAAATATTACAGACAAGTGAAAGTTTTCAAATTTTGGAGTTTCTTGTGTAGCAAGTGTCACTTGTTTATTTATTGATTGATCCATTTCAATTATATTTATTGAGTAACTGTTGTTTATCAACCACTCTGGTACAAATGTGTATAAGACAGATGCTGAGGAGTTAGAAGTGGCATTGTGTGCAGGTATTAATCAAGTAATCACATATATGATTCATATATAATTGAAAACTGAGAAAAGCCCTATGTGGGAAAAGGATAGAACAACTAGGTTGTTGAAATTGATCTGATGTTTAGCAGCAAGGTTTTCCCAAATTAGTGTTTTCCCTCAATTCTCTAAAGTGTCTCCCCTCTCAAAGCTTCCCTGTGCATTTTGTGCCTGTCATTTCGTATCTCCTGTACACATACTATTCATATGAGAAGAAAGGCTGACCTAGAGAGCTCTGAGGATCTTATAAGCTATGAAAAAGAACATTCAGACAATCTATCCTCAATCAGACTAAACAAACACACAAAGAAAGAAAAACAAAAGAGAGTAAAAAAGAAAAATTATAAGAATCAAGGCTGTCCATTACTGGAATACACATGCAGAATAGTGTAAGTTCATCTGTTGGAAAAGGAGTGCATAAATGTGAAATATTCATAGATAGAATTAAATTGGGCAAAAGAATATTAAGAGGAATTAAATAGATTCACATATAGGGATGACACTACAATATTGAAGGCTTGGTTCAGTATGGACCCAGGCCAATCACAAAGAAAATCACTAATGTGGAGAGGCGGCAAAACCACAATGCTGGGTGAAACAAAGAAACAAGGTATCAAAGGACAAGTTCATTATAATGCCATCTGTAAAATTCCTTCAAAGTAAAACTGTATACTGCTCGGGGACTCATATGAATTAAAAATGGCATAGAAGCCAGTGCCAATGGCTCAAGCCTGTAATCCTAGCTACTCAGGAGGCAGAGATCAGGAGGATTGCAGTTCAAAGCCAGTTATGGTCAAATAGTTTGTGAGACCCTATCTTGACAAAAATTCATCACAAAAAAAGGGCTGGTGGAGTGGCTTAACGTGTAGACCCTGAGCTCAAACCCAGTACTATACACACACAAAAAGGCATATAAAAGTTATATATAGAATTCAGGGTAGCAATTGCCTCTGGGTAATTGCCTCTTGCTACTGGAAGATGGGAACAGATGGGCTGTAACTTTATTGCAATGTGTTATTTCTCTTACAGAGAGACACTAGAAGCAATAGAACAAAATTTGCATAGTTGTCAATTCCAGGTAGTTTGTACTCCTGATATATAGTGTTGAGTATCTGGCAAATATAGGTGCTTTGTTTTACATTATTCCATGTAATTTTATGAGTTAAAAAATAGCAAAATAACTCCAGGCTTGGAGCCATGGTGTGCACCTGTGGTTGGAGCTACTCAGAAGGCTGAGGCAGGAGGACCATTTGAGCCAAAGAGTTTGAAGTCAGCCCCGGCAGCAAAGCAAGACCCAGTCTCTGAAAACAAAAAGACTACTCCAAACTATTGCCTTATAAAACATGAAAAATAATGTAAAATCATCCACATCAGCTCCCTTAACAATGTGTTCTTGTGAAGTAGACCCAAATGAACTGGACTAGGTGTAATTCTGCTGTAAGAACTAGCCCTTTTTGCCCTTGGCATTGCCAACAACTCCTCCTAACAAGACGAGCATCTCATCTATACTTGTGCATAAACTCAAATGCCTCTCTCTCCATCATTTTCTTGGGATGATTTCAGTTTATAGAGGCTCTCAGGAAACACCAAGTTGCAGTTCTGTTTACAACACTAATCAATGTCCAGCTAATACACACAGCCACATTGTGATCTACAACTGCCAGCATCAAATGCTTCCATTTTTGAATAAGCTTTTTTGGAGCAATTCCATATTTATAGTAAAATCTCAAAGAAAATACTGAGTTCCCTATACCTTTCACCCAGTTTCCCTTCATGTTAGTATCTTCATCGACCATTATTCAAACCTCAGAGGAAGATAAGCTATGTAAGCATCTTTGGAAAATCACAAAATGTCATTCAGTAAATTCTGTAGTGGTGAACTGGCTTTGGATTAGGGAGACCTATTTCTGTTCTATGCCTGCTCAACATTTGAGGCATCATGATGGATAAGTTACTCTGACAGTTGGTCTTGCACATTTGAATGTTGCATTAGCCAAAGATTGCCATCGTGTCTTCTTTAGATGCCTCAGGTCCCTGGAGAAGTTGGCCTTGTTGGATTCAGGATGTCGGAAGGTCTGCTTAGTGTCTGCTCTACTGTTTTAACCAGATCATCTTCACTCCTCTGTTTTATATGCCAAGATGCCTTATAATATTTCATTTAAGAAAAAAGGTTCACTGCTTTAAAAAAAATCTAAAACTCATTAATCACCAATGTTCCCCTCACAGTGGCACTAGGAATCTGTGTGTCCTGGGAATGTTGGCTTCCTGGATATCACAGGCAACTTCCTAAGGTGCATGCAGGTACCAAGAATCACCCATCCCATTGTCTAGGAATGAGGCATGGATACAATGCTTCAGATCTCTAGAAGCCTAATACCAAGTAGGCTAAGGATAAAACATAGCCACTTTAATGGGCTGGAAGACGTTTTCAAGTTTATTTATTTTTCTCAAAAACAACCGGGACCGGGCTTAGGCAGAGCTGCCAGCGGATTGTGTTACACTTTACAACAGTGCAAGACTTTGCATAAACTATCTATGGCATTTGAAATCCAGGCCAGCAATTCGCCATGTATCATTTTGGAATGCTTTCCCCTGTGTGCTTAGCTGTGGGTCTCCCTGTAGACTGTGGCAGAGCACATCTCTGCATACTAGGATGGGAGTCTTATCTCTGCATCTAAAGCATTCAAGGTCAGAGAATTTGCCAACATGAACAAAGTCTTCTGATTGCTTAAATACGATTTCCTCTTATCTTGTCAGCTCTATCAGTACTAGACAGGGCTTTAGAGGAACATGCTGCTGTTATTTTATTCTTCTGGTTTTCTATTTAGTTGTGTGTTTGTTTCAGGCTGACTGCAATCCTGACCAGGGACAATCAAAGCAGATCAGAGAGAAAAGAACAAATCTAGCTGAACCTTTGCCCAAAGCCCTAGTTGATCTTAAAATCATCTATGTTCCTGGTGAAGTGGAGGAAAGGGAGACACAACCCTTACAATCCTCCTGCTTTTATGGACATTGCATGAATTTGCTCATTCAGCAGCCATTTATTGAGGGTGAATGGTATGCAAGGCTCCAGAGTACTGAGGAAAAAAGAAAAAAAGAGGCTGACTGAAGCCACAAGATTGGCTAGTGAGTAAGGGCATGACCTCAAGGTGACTGAGAATGCTCAGCTTTAATCCAACCACATTTTTGCATCTTCTAGAAAAGCAAATTCAACTGCACAATGAAGATTTTACTGAACATTTTGTAGGGGAACACACAGGAGAGCCTCTTATGCTCTCCCTACCATCATCCTGAGTTTCTCTTCTCTCCATTCCTAGATTTTCTCCAGTGTCAGTGGCTCCAGGGGCCTTGGAATATCTCCTAGCCTCTTTCCCCATCTCAAAATGCACATCCCTCAAATCTCAGGCAGAACCATTCTGTTCTCCCTCCTATTTTCCCCTTTGACCTTGGGATATGGGGCTGTCCTCTGTAGCAGAACACCTTAGACTCTCCATCATCTTAAGAGGGATCTATGTTTGCTTCAAATAAACCTGTGAGAAATAGGAGAACTGACTTAGTTTTTGTTGTGTCACTAATCAGATGGACATTTCTGACTCTCAGTTTCCTCATCTGTGAAACACAGTAGTTGTACTGAATGACTGTAAAGGGTCCCAGAAGCTTAAGGACACCCACAGTAATATTACCCACCCAGAGACTCATAGTCACAAGATCATTTAACTCTTACAATTAAGGCTGAAGTCATTATCTTATATTTGTGATGAGGAAAATGAGGCACTGAGGCTTTGAATGACTCTTTCAAGATCACATGTCTGCTTGAATGTAGAGCTGGGAGGTGGACTCTGATCCTTCTGATTTGACATTCAGTGTCTCAGTCACAAAACAACATGATGTTACTTACACTTGGCAGAAATTTCAGCTTCCACATACCCCACATTCACTTGCAGTTCCAAAGTAAAAAACTAATTTATCATCCTGCCACTTATGGCAGCACATACCTCAGGGTGAAAATTTCCTAGATGCAGTCTTTGAAGGCCTTTGAAAGCATGTTCCAGTCACTTCTACTAA